CATATTTTCTGTAAACTGTGTCTAATATAAACAAAAGCTCGAAACTTAGGGTTGGTTGTTGCTATAAGTTGTTATTGCAAGTGTTGAAAGAGCACTTAGTGCAATCAACAAAGTGAAGAAACACTTCAGAATAAGATAAGTTATGGAATCATGAACGATTTTTCGTTGTGGTATCTTAACATCTTCATAATTTGCATAATGAATGTATTTTAGAAAATTTTCAGAACGTGAACATATCCTGAAACTTACGTTATATATATATTTTTTGACGTTTGACCTACCTTAGATAAATTTCTGGCTACGCCACTGACTGTATGTGTCAGGAAAATGACTGTTTCCGAATCTCCATCGTCCATTCCCATCCAATTATTTGATTGCAACTTGCAACCAACTCTGCCACCGCCCTTATCTGGAAATTTATTTCGGTTTTGATTTGAGCCTTTAATCGTACAGGTCCTGATGCAAAACAACGACAAAGACACCTCCGGCGCTCCTCTGCCCAACCTAATCTACCTCGCCAGAGAGAAGAAAAAGGGCGTCCCTCACCAGTTCAAAGCCGGTGCCCAAAATGCCCTGGTAAACTGTTCAGCAGGACAGCTTAATTTTCCCCGGGTTATTTTCGTAAAATGAAAGTTTAACCATTTTTTTTTTGTTTCTTCTCAGTTACGAGTGTCGGCAATGATCACGAACTCGCCGCTGATCCTGATGATGGACTCCGACTACATATCCACCGACCCGATCACAGTCCGGCGGATCCTGTGCTACTTCCTGGACCCGGCGATCCGGCCCACGCTGGCCTACGTCCAGTTCCCGCAGATCTACATGGGCCTGAACAAGCAGGACCTGTACGGCAACGAGTGCAAGAAGTGGATGCATGCTGGGCCGCACGGAGGCGATGGGCTCGATGGGCCGAGCTGCGTCGGCACGGGGGTTTTCTTCGCGAGGCGGTGTTTTTACGGGAGCCCACGTGAATTGTCGCCTATTGACGTTCCTGAGATGAATCCCGACCGCGTGATCGAAAAGCCGTTGACTTCCCAGCCTCCTATGGACTTGATCAACAAAGTCGGTGGCTGCCACTTCGAGGCCCAGTCCAAATGCCAATGGGGCCAGAAGGTAATAATGAGAATAATAATGCAATTAAAGGTCACTAGGAATAAGAATTGGTCGAGTCGGGGTCGATGAATATTTATTACTCTACCTAAAATAGTTTTGGTTTAACTCATACTCACATAAGAAATAGGCAGAAAATCAAAATTATGCATATATCCATTCGGGTTTAGGGTACTTCACGGTTATCCATGGATAATAATTTCTCTTTATAACTCCAACCAATATATTAACATTCACCTGTATTCTCACATTACATAAGATGAAAAGTATGACAAATAGTTCACTAGAATGAAGAAAATTAATTAAACAACACAATTTCGGTGCCTTTTACAGTACACCGGGTGAAATTCGGGGTACCACATAACTTGAGTATGAAAACGCTATATAAACCTCGAATTAGCAGGATTTTTGAGCATGGTACTATACCCTAACCCTTAATAAGTGAACCCATTGTAATTATCTAAATCATAAACTATAAACCCTAAGATGGTGCATTGATTTTTTTGCTTATATTTGGACGAATCATAACCGTCAATTATTGTTTCTAATTAAATTGATCATGGGGTACAAGATTTAGATAATTAAGACCTAGATTTTGATCTTTAAAAGTTAGAGTATAGTATCATGTCCGAAAGATCAGTTAATTCAAGTTCTGGATAGCTTTTTTTACTCAAGGTATGCGGTACCCTGAATTTCACCCTGGGTACCGTAGAACTCCCCCACAATTTCATGAATATATTATATTTATATGCTAAATATAAAATGTGTTTAGAGCAAAATAATGATTATTTATAGACAAAATACATAGACATGTGTATAATCAGGGCGGTTCGGGTTGGATAGGGAGAAAACCATGCTCATCCATTACTTGCAATATTCAAATTTGGATTTTACCCGTACCCAGTAAAATTCCTTCGAGTTCGAGTTTTACCCTGCTCGATTAGGTCGGATTCGAACAGATATCCACGATTACAGATTTTTTTGCAATCCCTGGTCACTATTTTGACTGGAGATGGACTTAACCTTGTGTGTTGGTGGCAAAAATTGTTGCAGATTGGGTTCAGGTACGGGTCGTTGATTGAGGACTACTTGACCAGTTTCCAAATGCACATGGATGGCTGGAAGACGGTGTGGTGCAACCCAGAAAGGCCTGCATTCAAGGGGGAAACGCCTTGTACTCTGGTCAGTCTTCTGGTCCAGATCAAGAGATGGGGGCTTGGTTTTCTGGAGGTCCTCTACTCCAAATACTGCCCTCTGTTCGTCGGCATCAAGAACTTAGGGTTCCTCATGGGTGGCGCGTACTCGAACTGGGCACTGTGGCCCCTCAGCTCAGTTCCATTCACCATCTACGCTTTCCTCCCTGCGTTAGCACTTCTCCACGGAGTCTCCATCTTCCCAAAGGTACAGAAACTAATACATTCTTTACTATATAGAGTCATGAGTATTGACTAATTCCATTCTTTCTGATAGCAAAGCTACGAGTCTGAGTTGGTTTTCGTTCAGGAGGGTGTGTTAATAAGAATATATGATCTATTATTGAACCTCGATTACAATAACTCGAGTTAGTTATTGAGATCAACTGGTTCTTTATTTATTAATACGCACAATCTAACTATCAGAGCACGAGAATTGACTAATTCCATTTTTTTTATGATGTTTGTGCAAAGTTCAATCCCTTTTAAGTGAACTTTCGTTTGAGCGAATGTCTTAATAATTGATATATATGATCCATTACCGAATCACTATCAATAACGAAATATTCAGATCAACTAGTTATTGACATAGTATGATGACAGCCCTTTTGTGATCGAGAGATTTTTTGTTAGAATCACGATGAACCCCATATGTTATGTTAAACACATGCATGGGATCCGGACATGTGCAAACACTAAGCATTATAGGAGCCAGATTTCGTTTAAATGCAACAGGTGTGCTAAAAAAAAAATTCTCCCAGCAACTCTGGTTATTGAGATTAACTAGTTATTTAACATGGTATCACGTCATGGTTGAATAACCTAATCAGAAAAAAAACAACCTAATACTCTGATGAAGAATACAACTCTATCAAATTTCGTATTAACGTAACACTACTCGTACTACTGCTAAATACTAACGAGCTATGTTACATACAGGTTTCAGCAGACCCGTGGTTCCTGCTCTACCCGTTCCTCTTCCTCGCCGCCTACGGCTACGAGATGTTCGAGTTCTGCTGCCTGGGCTCCAACCCAATCAAATGGTGGAACGCCCAGCGGATGTTCATGATCTGGTGCACTTCCTCCTTCAACTTCGCCCACTTCGAGTTCTGGCTCAAGACCATCCTGGGCCGGACCACCACTTCCTTCGGCCTCACCAGCAAGGTCAACGACGCCGAACACGTCCGCTGCTACGAGCGCGGCGAGTTCGAGTTCGGCGCCGCCAACCCGACCATCCTCGTCCCGCCGACAATGGCGGCGGTCGTATCGCTGGTGGCGTTGGTGCAGGGTGCGGCGGTGGAGGTTGGGGTGAAAGGGAGGGCGTGGGAGGAGATTGGGGTGCAGTTGTTTTTGTGTGCGTTTGGGGTTGTGAACAGCTTCCCGTTTTACAAAGGGATGGTGAGAGGGGATAGTTTGCGGCTGCCGACGTCGACGACGGTTATGGCGTCGTTGTTTGTGGTTGTGCTCTATGCGGCGACGTATTTCGTCTTCAAGAGTTAGAGAGACTGTGTACGTACGTAGATGGGTTATTGGGGAGGAAATAAAATGTAGTAGTGTGATGTAATGGTCTGGCTAATAAGGCAATTTAGTGGCCATCTAGCTACTTGGCCTTGAATTAAGTTGAATAGGAATAAGTACACCATTGATGAGGGTACGGATCTAATGTAGGATGAATTCGTGGGGTACATTTGTGATGAAGTTTTATGTATGGAATTATGCATCACTCACAACTTACGATTCGAGTTATTATATATTAATGTGCTTGATTGGTTGGTTGGTTTATGATATGATATCATAGTTGGTTCGTTTTTTAGGTTAAATTTACGTGTTCAAGTCATCATGACTCTAATAGTAGCCGCAGTCTTAAAACACTTGACATAATGGGTCTGGGCAAATTTTAAATCCATGAATTGACTTTCGTTTGAGATGTCAGATAAATAAGTGGTTAAGATCCATATATACATGAACCTCCTCCAAATCCTCGAGTTATTGATGAGGACAACTATTTAAGCGATCGATTAAGTTCAATAGTGACTATCCACATTAATATTTCACGTTTAACTAGCCAATATTTTCCCATTATTTATTAATCATGTGCATGACTATAGGCGGATGGAGAAGGTTTTGCAATTGTGAGGGAACATAAAAAAATCTCCATATTTGTCATGTAAATTATCAAATTCATCAATTTGAGGTGACATAACGAGTATTTTATCACTTCTTTAAAATTTATGTTGGGATATGGATTAATATGCCTACACGACTATAAATGGGCTCAAGTCTACCGCAAGGCGTCTCGGGCACAAGCCCATTTAATGAGGCCCAAACCCCTATATAAGGAGGCCAAAGCCTCCAAGCCAAAGATCTTCTCTTCCCTTCCCACATTCTTACCCTAAGATCTCTCTCTACATATCATAAACCTCTTCCTATATCGTATTAACTTGAGCATCGGAGCGTAGATCCTGAGGATCGCCCCCGCCTCACAGGTTCTTCCACTCCCGAGAAGATCAGACGATAGAGTCCAGATTGGAGCCTCATAATTACTATGTTAGCCCCGAGAACATTCTAGAATCAAACACTTATTGTTAATTGATTATCATAACATTAATTTATTATTCCAAAAGCGAATATCCAATGAAAATAATTCATATTCTGGAAAAAAAAAGGACACCTAATTTCAAAATTTTGACCCTGACACTACCTACAAACGCTTTTACTGCCAAACGCCATGTTACAAGTCATGCCATTCTCCTGAACCCTCCCATTGGCGAAGTACAAGCAGTTCTTGTCCAAGAAGGCCTGGGCCTCGGCGAGACAGGCCGGGCACGAGGCCGAGGTCGGGTCGGGGCAGGCGGCCCGAGCCCACAACCCGTTCACGTTGATGCACGTCGAGAACTCGCCCGGGTGAGAGTTGTGGACGTTGACCACGTTGATGAGGATGCCCTTTCTCGCCTGGCCCAATGGGCTCGATGGGCTGATCGGGGTCAGGCCGCAGGAGTGGTCCGCGAACGAATATGCCTCCGTCGACGCCGGCGCCGCAACCACCACCGCCACGTGGTCGTTGGTGATCATGGAGAGACCGACGACGACGATTATCAGCCAAGCGAGGGCAGCCATTTCTTGGAAAGGATTTTTTGATTGCTCTGTGTGCGTTGTGAGTACTGGAGGTTGTTGTTGTTGTTGTTGGTGACAGAAGGTGTTGTTGGTAAAGTAGAGGAACCACTTTGGCCTTTTTATAAGCCATAGTGCACCCACAAAATGTTGATACCTTGCCTTTTACGTTGAAAGGAGAAAAGGAAAACAGAATTTGAAAGATATGAATGATGATGTTGTTGTTATTAGTATTCCATGGATATAGTCATATAGATAACATTAGATTTGTACCTCATCACTTAGGTCAGATTCATTTCCTAAATATTGAGATATGAAATTAAGGCTTGGCTTCTAGAGATGGTAATTGACGGGTTTGGTGTGAGTTTCGCACTTTCACTAAACAATATGAACTCTCATTTTTAAACATCAAAATTCAAACGTCATGTTTGTGGGTAGGAAGGTTTTGTAACCTCATTTCCATAATGCGGTTTTTAGGTACCCATACGTAGTATCGGTCCTGTACATTCAATATTATTATAAATAAAATTTTATATGTATAATCATACATAGAGATCATAAAATCAACAAAAGTACAATCCTAAAACACTCTTAATCCATAGAATATAATACTTTTCAAACCATTCGATTTTTATATCATAAAATCATTAACATTTACATTCCCAAAGACCGTAAGATGATAGACTTGAGAGTGCAACTTCCGGTACTTCACTTTGTTAAATGCCGCTGATGGTCTGTTCTTTCACCCGGCTGTGTATCGTTGGAAGGAGAAGAACATCTGTCCTCTTTCAAGAGAGGATGATATTTGAAGACACTAAACTGGGAAACACTACAAAATCCGTTACGATTAGCTTCAGAAGAACTAAACAAAAAAGGGGTTTATGTTTACCAATTCGAATATATCAACGGAACCAAAGAAAAAGAAAAGAAAAAACCGATCAGGAGATACCACAAGAGAAATTACAATATCTCCATCTCCCACTCTCTACTCCTACGTTCTTTTCTCCCAGTAGTAGCCTACGTCGACGTTAATCTGGAACGGCGCCAAAAAAAAAAAAAAAGTCAAAAGGAAGAGATTACAACTCATCGTGCGACTCCTCCTCCTCATCTCCGGCAGCACCGCCGCCAGGAGCACCGCCGGACCGCTGGTACACGGCGGTGATGATCGGGTTGCAGACGGCTTCCACCTCCTTCAGCTTCTCGTCGTAATCCTCCTTCTCGGCGGTCTGGTTGTCGTCCAGCCATTCCAGGGCCTCCTTGGTCGCGGCCTCGATCTTCTCCTTCTCGTCGCCCTCCAGCTTGTCCGCGAGCTTGTCCTTGTCGTTGATCTGGTTCTTCATGTTGTACACGTACGTCTCCAAGCTGTTCCTGGCGTCGATTCTCTCCTTCACCTTCTTGTCCTCCTCGGCGAACTCCTCGGCCTCGCGGACCATCCGGTCGATCTCTTCCTGGCTCAGGCGACCCTTGTCGTTGGTGATCGTGATCTTCTCCGCCTTCCCGGTGCCCTTGTCTTCTGCCTTCACGTTCAGGATGCCGTTGGCGTCGACCTCGAATGTCACCTCGATTTGTGGGGTGCCCCTGTTGAAACATTAGTACGACATCCGTCAGCAGAATGTAAACTAGGGAAAGAGGAATAGGAAAGGGAGGGCAAAGGAGGAGACAAACCTGGGAGCTGGAGGAATTCCGGTGAGATCGAATTTTCCGAGCTGCCTACAGTCCTTGGTGAGACTCCTTTCACCTTCAAAGACCTGAATGGAGACGGTGGTCTGCTGATCCTGGTAAGTGGTGAAAACCTGAGACTTCTTGGTGGGGATGACGGTGTTCCTCGGGATCAACTTGGTCATCACTCCGCCGACGGTTTCAATACCCAATGTGAGGGGTGCAACATCCAGAAGAAGGATGTCTGTCAGGAAACAAAAGGAAACATAATGAATAACAGGTTCTCATTCTCGGATTAGTCGATCACCAGCAGGTCGAAATCGGGTGGTTTGTAAAAGAGGTTACCTTTGGTTTGGTCGCCACCTTCTCCGCTAAGGATGCCACCCTGGACGGCGGCACCATAGGCAACAGCCTCATCAGGGTTGACTCCCTTGTTGGGCTCCTTCCCGTTGAAGTAATCCTTGAGGAGCTGTTGAACTTTGGGGATTCTGGTGCTTCCACCAACCAGGACAATTTCATCGATCTGGTTCTTCTCCAAACCAGCATCGTCCATGGCCTTCTTCACTGGTCCCATGGTCTTCCTGAACAGGTCGTTGTTCAACTCCTCGAAGCGAGCTCTGGTGAGTGGTTCGGAGAAGTCGACGCCATCGAAAAGTGATTCGATTTCCACACGGACTTGGTGCTGGCTACTGAGAGCCCTCTTGGCACGCTCAGCTTCCCTCCTGAGCTTTCCGAGAGCCCTGTTGTCCTTGCTGATGTCCTTTCCGTGCTTCTTCTTGATCAACTTGATGAAGTACTCCATGATCCTCTGATCGAAGTCCTCACCTCCCAAATGGGTGTCACCGTTGGTGGAAAGAACCTCGAACACACCGTTATCAATGGTCAAGATACTGACATCGAAGGTACCACCACCGAGATCAAAGACCAGGATGTTCTTCTCGCCACCCTTCTGGTCCAAACCATAGGCGATGGCAGCAGCAGTTGGCTCGTTAATGATCCTAGCTACATTGAGCCCAGCAATAACACCGGCATCCTTTGTAGCCTGTCTCTGGGCATCATTGAAGTAGGCTGCATTTCCAAGACAGACAAAGGACTGGGTCAGATACTTCCTAAATGCAAAAGTACGAACACTTCTACTACAATAGTTTAATTTAGTTACTGACCGGGGACAGTGACAACAGCATCCTTGATTTTCTTTCCGAGGAAAGCCTCTGCTGTTTCCTTCATCTTGACCAAAATCATAGCACTGATCTCTTCAGGACTGAAGATCTTGGTCTCTCCATCCTTGATCTTCACTTGGATGTAAGGCTTTCCGTCCTTGTTCACAATCTTGTATGGGACAAGTTTCATGTCCCTCTGGACCTCTTTGTCCTCAAACCTGTTGTTTTAGGGATCAAACCCCTCCAGTTAGACATTGGCCAGCCAAAGACCTCAAAGATATGCAACATTATCAAGTAAGGTTAGAGGACTTACTTTCTTCCGATAAGCCTCTTGACATCAAAGATGGTCCTTTCAGGGTTCACAGCTGCCTGATTCTTTGCAGCCTCACCGATCAATCTTTCACTGTCAGTGAATCCCACCCATGATGGAGTAATACGGTTTCCTTGGTCATTTGCTATAATTTCAACGTGACCATTCTTATAGACACCGACACAGGAGTAGGTTGTTCCAAGATCTATCCCAATAACAGTTCCTAGCTTGGTGGCCTCCTCTTTCGCAATGGAAATTGCAAATAGACAACCTGCAAAGCACAATTCTCAAGAGATCAATAGGATTCTAGACATTTCTCTGTATCCAGAAGCTAGACACAAATCATGTAAAAGGTAGAGCGTCAGCTGAATAGCAGGACATTCACAATGCATTAAGAGATCACATTGCTCCAGAAAACCAACTAATCCAACTTTCATCAAACATACTCAAACCTCTCTTCAACCTTTTCCTAGAACAGACCTAGCATCTACGGCAGAGCACCATTTCAACATCAGGCGTAAAAGGAAAGAGTGCAACGAAATCAAAATCGATCTACAATCAGAACAGTACATTTCTCCATGCACGCTGGTCATCCACACAGCAATTGAGCTCAGGCTATATGATTTCGCAATCTATACATACAAGAAACTCTCCTAAATCCATCAAAACCGCATTCAAATCATGGATAAATCTGACAAGAAGCAACGCCATTCATCAACTGCAACGAAATCTAAACTAGATGTCTAGATCTACACTACAGCATTTCAGCTCGAGACTACAGGAGTATAAACTACGACGAAATCAAGGACCTACGATACGGAAACGGATCAACTAAAGATCCTGCGATCTGCAATCGTAAAGAGCGTTCTAGTCTACTCACCGAATAAGAGAACGGCCGAGACGACGAGACCGCGTGCTCTCTGAGAGCCAGCCATGGCAAGCGAGCAACTCTTCTTTCGTCAATCCAACTGCAACTACGCTCCGAAAATCGTCAATGGAAAGAAGCAAAACCCCCGCAGAGGCGAAGAGCTGATGGAAGAGTGACGTGCTCTGTTCTTCAAACGGCCTTCTGATTTTGTGTTCGATGGTATACACACACACTTTAAGCGCGCGTGGGGAAATGGAGGCTTTTATAGAGTCGTCTTCAATATAACCATTCTCTTCTTCTCGCCCTTTGCGGTCGATTTCTCGTTCTGCTGATGAACGGAGAGAGAACATGTCATTGATGGTGACGTGGACCAATGAGGTTGCGAGCTCTGATCATCTCGGCCAATGAGATTGGAGCTCGTGGTGTGTGTCTCGTGGCCGCCTGTTATTGGGTGTCTCGACGTGGCCCTTCTCGGAGTTTCGTTTCGTTTCGTTTCTCCGAACTTGACGCTTACTCCTCCGCAGACCAAGCTAACGAACCCAGGCTTCGGCTTTAGGCTTCTGGGCTCAAGCCCGTTTTATCGGATTCGATTAAATAAAATGTGTGGGCTGTTATCACTGGATAGGATGGGCCGAAGCCCAATAAGGATCAATCATTGGGTCATTCCTTCCCCACCCTCACCAGTAGATGACTTGCGAACAAAGTCATTAATCTCAATAATGACAACAGTTGAGTTGAGGCATCTCACCCAATTATCTGAATTTTCTGCATGGAGATTGAAAAACAGTTTTAATTAATTTGGTTTGGAGGAAGATATTTAGTAGGTAGGAAGAAGATGTTGACAATGTATTGGGAAATATTAGCATGGATGATGTGCTATGGAACCACAAACTTTGTACATCCATCGTATCCTTTCTTCTTAGATCGTACTAGTTCATGTCTGGTGGGAAATTTATTGAAGAGGATGAGTTGAATCGAGATCCTTTAATCTTGACTTGTCTCGATTCTTTTAACGGAACGAAAGTTTAGGGACCAAAAGTTAAACCCAGTCTAAGGTACGAGGAGATCACATCAGGCATATCACAAGACTCTCTTTACAGGGTGTGTACGAGCAGTTTTCTTATGTAATTTTTCTATCAGTAGTCTGTCATGTTAATATTTGTTCAATTCAAATTGTAAAAGGAGGTGGATGGTCAACTGAGAAAGAAGGTTAGGTTTAACCAATTCGTGAGCACCTTCTCATAGACCACCCGTGAGGAAAATAGCAAAATTGAATTCGACTCATTCGATCCTAAAATAATGAAATGAATGGAGTTCCAACTTCCAATCCATACCATCATGATTCATGTATGCTGTTGACAGAGACTGCTGCTCTCTCATTATAGTGATTGCACAGGAAGTTGGCTTTTGCAGTTGCAGCTACCTTATCTTCACCATATTCATTCTCCAAACCTTTTTGAGTACAAATATATCTTAATCACGGATCATCCATCACCCATATTTATTGGCTCCGTTTCCCTCCTCCCAAACTGCACATACATATGCATAATAAGAACCCACCAAAACCCAGTTCCTTCCCCACAAGCCAATTGCTCCAGAGAAAACCACCATAACCATTCGAATCCATGAAGAAGAAGAAGAACTCCAAAATGGCCACTCTCGTCGTCGTCGTCTTCCTGCTGCTCCTCCTCCTCCTCATCACCAATCCATCCATCTCCATGGCTGATGGCCTTCAAGCAGATCATCTGGCAAACCCACTTGTGACTTATGGATTCTGCTTTATATACCTTTCCCTCCCCGTAGTGAATGTGTTCAATTTTGCTTCTTGTACAGGTGAGGAAGCTGCTGCTGCAGATGGATCTGGTGTTGTTGGACTATGAGAAAGACCCAGGAGCCAATACAAAGCACTTGCCAGGTCCCAGCAAACCTGGAGTCGGTGGCTGAACGCTATTACATTACATTAATACAGGGAAAATTCACGAGTCTCAACCACCCTTCCATATCTACCACAAACTACTGAGTTATATTGAGATCTCCTATGTAAATGCTGAAAAGGGTCCTTCTGATTGTTAGAGAATGGTATAAGATCCAACAGAACCTTTTCTCAACAACTCGAGTTATTGGAATCAACTGGTTCTTGACACTGATGTTGTTCTACTTATTATTGATCATCTATTAATCCCTCTGTTTATTGTCCTAACAACGACTAGCTATGAAATTAGGATGTTAAGGTGATGTACATAACACTAGTGAATAGCATCGTCTTAAGCTACTAATTACTAGAATTTCCCTTCCCAAAGCACAGTAATTCACTAGTAAACATAAGCCGCTTTGCCCATTTTGCCCTCGCGCCTTACCCAACAGAAAAAAAAACAGAGCAAGCAAAGCAAAAGGAATCTCTCTCCGCTTTCCCCTGCTTCCCTCTCTCTCTCCCTCTTCTCCTACTTCTTCTTCCTTCCAAGACCTCAACTTTTGCATTTCCTCATCAGATCCCAAAAAACCCTCCTCCATTTCAACAATGGCAGTCGCTCTCTGAACCCCATTTCTTCCCACGGCATCTGCACTCTGTTTTTCTTATTGCGGCTCCTCTGTTCCACTTAGCTCCACAAAATTCCTCCCACCTCCGCCGCCGCGGCCATGCCGGGCCTCGTCTCAGTCAAAACCCCACCCGACACTCCTCAACTAACCGTCTCCGTCCCCAATTCCCAACCCGGAGCTTCATCTCTGACCCGACCCGACTCCTCCCCTGCCCCGCGAACGCCCAGCAAGAAACACCCTTCCCCTTCTCCTTCTCGATCCAAACTCTCCCCGGCCCGCTCCGCCAAAAAACCCGCCCCGTCCGACTCCCCCAACCCGCCCGATGCCTCCCTCGACAACCGGGATCTCGGCCCTTTCCTCCTGAAGCTCGCCAGGGACACGATTGCTTCAGGGGAAGGTCCCTCCAAGGCCCTGGAGTACGCACTTCGAGCTTCCAAGTCGTTCGAGAGATGCGCCGCCGTCGAAGGCGAGCCGAGCTTGGACTTGGTCATGAGCTTGCACGTTCTGGGCGCGATTTATTGCAGCTTGGGGAAGTTCGAGGAGGCGGTGCCGCTGCTGGAGAGAGCCATCACTGTGCCGGAACTGAGCAGAGGGACGGATCACGCTCTGGCGGCTTTCTCTGGGTATATGCAGCTGGGGGATACTTATTCCATGATTGGGCAGGTGGATAAGTCGATCCATTGCTACGAGGAAGGGTTGAAGATCCAGATCGAGTCGTTGGGGGATACTGATCCCCGAGTTGGCGAGACTTGCAGGTAACAGAAAAAAAAAAAAAAAAATTTGGGGAGGAAGTAAAGCTATTTAAACCTCTGCTGATTTTGCCTGCCAGATTAGGAAACATTATAGTTTCGTTGAACATTAATGAAGTTTGACATTCTCTTGATCTTACGGAAGTTTCCTTTTTTTTTTCTTTCTCTTTTGGATTCTCTTGTTTGTTGTTTTGTTTACATTTTGTTAGTGACCTGACTGGTATAAGTAGTGCTAGTTTAGACTGAGATTTCAAGAAATTCGACCATGGCGTGATTAAGGAAGTCATTTGAGCTTCTGGGTCCTGTATAAGGTTGAATTTAATGTCGATGTTATGTGAGCATTTGCATGTGTGACAGCAAGGTTGAATTCAGCTCAAGGAGCTGAATTTGGGGTTTCTGAGTTTATGATCATGAGGGAAAAGTTATCATCTTTGCTTTGATTAATCCTGTTCTTTGTGGATTATGGATGCTACATTGCGTGTTCTTGCTAAATTTCCTGTTTAGGCAATGTATAGACTTTCTGTAGTGAATGAATTAGATTGGAGTTTTCATTTTGGAGTAATTTGATTTTTCAGGTACTTATCTGAAGCGCATGTTCAGGCCATGAACTTTGAGAAAGCAGAGGAGCTGAGCAAGAAAACCCTGGAAATCCACCGCGCACACAGCGAGCCAGCTTCGATCGAGGAAGCAGCCGATCGAAGACTGATGGCACTCATCCATGAGGCCAAGGGAGACTACGAGGTGGCACTCGAACACCTGGTCCTTGCCAGCATGGCAATGATTGCAAATGGACAAGATAACGAGGTTGCCGCCATCGACATCAGCATCGGCAACGTCTACATGTCCCTGTGTCGATATGACGAGGCAGTGTTCTCGTACCAAAAGGCTCTCACAGTATTCAAGTCGTCGAAAGGTGACAACCACCCGTCGGTAGCCTCGGTGTTTGTGCGCCTTGCTGACTTGTACCACAGGACAGGAAAACTCCGAGAGTCCAAATCTTACTGCGAGAATGCTCTCAGGATATATGCAAAACCTGCTCCTGGGACCACCGGGGAAGAGATTGCCTCTGGTTTGACCGAGATCTCGGCTATTTATGAGTCTGTGGATGAACCGGAGGAGGCACTGAAGCTTCTGCTGAAGGCGATGAAGTTGCTGGAGGATAAACCTGGGCAGCAGAATACTATTGCGGGCATTGAAGCACGAATGGGGGTGATGTTTTACATGCTTGGTAGGTATGAAGATGCAAGGGGATCTTTTGAGGGGGCGGTGAGTAAGCTTAGGGCAAGCGGAGAGAGGAAGTCCGCATTCTTTGGAGCTGTGCTGAACCAGATGGGATTGGCATCTGTTCAGCTGTTCAAGATCGATGAAGCTGTTGAGCTGTTCGAGGAAGCTAGGGCGGTATTGGAGCAGGAGTGCGGTCCATGCCATCAGGACACTCTTGGCGTGTATAGTAATCTTGCTGCAACTTACGATGCTATGGGAAGGTAATTTGCCTGGCCAAGTTTGTACCTTTTTGGTTAAGAAACTCATCTGATCATTCATTCATGACTTGTATAATTTATCTTTGGCTGGAAATGCAGAGTGGAAGATGCCATTGAGATATTGGAATACGTTCTTAAACTGAGAGAAGAAAAGCTTGGTATTGCTAACCCTGATTTTGAAGACGAGAAGAATAGGCTAGCGGAGCTTCTGAAAGAAGCAGGCAGGGGTAGGAACAAGAAGGCCAAGTCGCTGGAAAACTTGATAGATCCCAGCTCGAAGAGGACTACTGCGAAGAAAGAATCATCGACGAAGAAATGGGGATTCAGGATTTGAGAGGCATGTCTCTCTGTATGTAGATCTTTCACTCCTCCCTCCCACCATTAAATGCTCTCTTATTTATCTACTAAATCTTCTTACATTGTGCAGGTGCATTGCTGTAACTTAGGGGGGAAAAATCATTTGTATAGTTAGTAATCTGGGTGAGCCTTTCCCCCCCCCCCCCCCCCCCCTCTTCTTCACTCCCCCACTGAAATCTGCTTGTTCTGCTGTTTGGTACTTCAGTTGCTTGTTTTTCTCTTTTAGTTTGGTTACTTTTCGGTGGTTTGTGCCTGGCAGTGGTGGGATTTTCACTTGTGTGCCCACTGCCCGAGTAAAAAAAGGGAATGTCATTGTATCAATTAGTCGAAGGGTTGATATGTCTGGTTTGACAAAACGGATCATGCAAATTCATCGTTAAACCGCAGTAACTTCGGCAATATACATGTTCTGGAATAGAGAAAAAGAGCATTCTTCCTTCTAAGTGATGTTCCAAAGCTTTCAGTCATACCAATGTCTCCTAGTTTCATTTCGGATGGAAGCTCCCATCTAAAGTGACAAGAGCAAATTCAAGTTTAACAGCCACCATTCCGAAAGAAATTCCTGGATATACTCTTCTTCCTGCATGAGTGTAACGAAGTGGAAATTATTCCTCTTGTAGTCACTTGGACAATCTAAAAATCACAGAGTGGAACTACTCGGGATCGATCCAATGACGGAGATCCCGATTGACTTGCCTATGTTCCTACGTACTTAATCTTCTCACCTTCCTCTCTCGTAGAACGAGCAAAGGATAGGGAGAAAGTGGCAAAAAATTACATGATCTATGCCCCCAATAAACTCTGTCATATCATATGCTCTCGTCAAATCCAACTTCACAACAGAGTAGCACTTCTTTATATTATTCAAGGTTGTCAAACCTGTATTCGACCGGCCGGTTCAACTAGGTCCGATCAAAACCATCCATCTAAATGGTTGGACGACACTCTAGTTGGACGAAAAAATTCAGAATTGGATTAAACAAGTCAACCCGGGTTAAACCAATTAAACTCGGGTGATCTAACAAGTCACAATCGGGTTTGGAGATGATTATTGATAATTTTGTAGTATATGTTTATTTTGAAAAAATAATTTGATAATATATGAATGATTGAATGTAGATTAGTGAGATTGTTCTAAAATATGTCAATATATGCATAATCTATTTGGTATTAGAGATGTTTCACATATTATGTTAAAACCGACTTGAATTAGTTGAACTCAATCCGACCATTAAACCTCAAACTACTTGTCAAACCGGTTTCATGACGTAATTCGGTTTGACAACCTTGATATTATTGCATTTCTTCATCTTATTATTTATTAAACAGACTGAGTTGTTGGGAGAGGTTCAAAAGTCCGGACACTATGTGCTTAACAGAACAAATGCGGGTCACCGAAATTCGAATATCACAGAAGGTTCTGATACAATGTTAATAACGAGTTGATCCCAATAAATCAAATTGTTGGCAAATGTTAAATTATGTGTTTCCACCACTGCTTAAGGAGTGTTTGATTTTGTACTTTATTAGTTTTTCTTCTCCAATGACTATGAGGGAGGTTCTAGGTAGGGATGGCAACAAAACCCGAACCCACGGGTATTCTACCCGACCCAACCCGGTCAACGTGGGTAAAACCCATGTTAACGGGTTTTGGGCCGGGTTTGTGTTTAAACCCGATAATTATTACCGGGTTGGGTTTGGGTAAACCCGCCCCACGGGTACCCGCACACACTAATATAATTAATTTTCCCGGTATATTTAATATTTTAAACAATTAATATTTTTTATATTTGTGGAGACATATCTAATTTTTTCTTTCTAATTTTCTAGAATGAAGTTGATATTATCGAGTGGAGAGCGAAGAATCTTAATTGACAAGGATGAAGAAGTTTTCAATTAATCATGTTGTTTATGGATAATTTATGATTTGCTTCAATTTTCTTGAGTTTTATAGATTGGTGTTGAACAATTTGTATGGTAAATTTGTGATTTGCTTAAGGCTCTGTTCACTTCCATTTTCGTTTCCTGTTTCCTGTTTTCATGTTATAAATTTGGCAAACGAAACGAGAAAACATGTTTACTTTTCATTCTGTTTTCTATTCGTTTCCAACTCTGAAAACAGAAAGTGACAGCTTCCTGCTGTTTTCGAAAACGAAAAAATGTCGTTTTCACCTGTTTTCAACATCTGTTTTCTCAAAAACAGGAAATAGAAATGAAAGTAAACAGGGCCTTACATTTTCTAAAATGGTGTTTTTATATATGGATAATTTGTATTGAGAGATTGATATTTGACTTTTATTTTGATAAGAACTTGTTATTGTAAATTTTTTACGACAAAAATCCATTGGTACCCATCAACCCGCGGATACCCAATGTGTTGGGTTGGATTTGAGTTTTTCAAATCCAATAAGTTTTACCCGAATTTTTATCACGGATAAACCAATTAATTTGGATTTAGCAAAACCCGACTCAACCCAACCCGATCCAACCCGACCCAACCCGACTCATTGTTCTTGGCGTCTAACTCCAGCCTCATCCTCTAACTTCGTTGTAGTCGTATCTCGTATGTGCTTCTAAGTTCTACCCGCTGCCTGTAGACACGCCGTTCTCTCTCTGGCTCTTCTGTCTCTCTCCCGCTCTCTTATCTGGGGGAGCGAAGTGAAGATTGTGGCTTCAGGAGACCAGACCACAACCAAGGAGCAGGTTAGTTTGTTTGTTCGTTTCTCATTGAAATGCTCCCCCTTTCACCCAATTCCTGTTCCTTCAGAGGGGAAAGTTGTCATTTTTATCTTCCCTTTTGTTCTGGTTCACTAGGTTTTGCTTTGGTTTCTTTCATTCATTTGTTACTGCGTTCAATTCGTGGAATACCCATTATTGGTTGCTTCGTTGTTGTCATTAATTCACGAGTCACGACGGCAACACTCTGGTTCTGCGGTTGTTGAGAGCAACCTAGCAGTGATAATGAGATATAGATGTGCCTGCAGCCTTTCGTGTTTTGATTGGACAGTTATGTTTGAATCGTTGCCACTGTCGAGGAAGGAGGTTTTTCTCGTTGGACCCCAACAAGAGTTTCTTTTGACGTTTTGGAGTTCAATTGTCGCGTCACCGAGAGCAGGATAGTTTGTCAGAGGATAGATTGATGATAGTGCAAGGGAACTTTGAGTTTTGATGAAAGAATGTTGAAAGCGTGAGGCTTTATGCAAGCTGAGCTGTCTAGGAACTACTAACTTCTGTGATTTTATTGTCTCACTAATGTGATTGGTTTGGAAGGTTGAATTCGGTCTGAGTCTGTTTAACTTGGTTTGATGTTATTATCTTGTCTAGGGCCATTCAGATCCTGCATCCTGTTAAATGGCCATCATTCATTGTGGAAGCACATCCCTTGCCCAATGGGGTACACGACCTCAGCTTATGCCGAGGTCATCAATGACAAACAGAATAGTGATGTGCCAATACAGGTATGTTATATGTGTGCTTAGCACATTCTTTCTTATGCAGAAAATATCATTTTTAGGAAAAAGGCCACGGTGTCGGTAGCCAGTCGGTGTACTCTTCTTTGTTTTAATTTACTGTATTCACTTAATTATGCAGCCTAGACAGCAGGATGAGACATCTATCAGCGCCAAGTTCGAGCTTCTTATCACGGGAATCCTTGCCTGTGATATCTTTTATGGGACCATCCAAAACCTTGCGTCAACGTAGGGGATCACGGTTTACAGTTAGAGCAGATGCTGTGAGTGTCTTCTGTAAATCAGTCTGTCATCCTTGGAAATTAGTGGCTGTCTGATTCTTTTTGTTGTTTGTTCAGTTTATTTTGTATATGACTGCTTCTCTTCACCCATTCTGAATTATGCTTATAACATTTTCACGTTTACAGGACTTCTATTCTGTACTTGGAGTGTCAAAGAATGCAACTAAATCTGAGATTAAAAGTGGTATGTGAATCCTCTTGTGTTTCTCTCTAATTATGAATCTCATTATGGATTTTTCGAGTTTCTGTCTGGTAATTCCAAACGGCCCAATGTATAATTAGCATTACTTTTGGCCTTTTGGATGTGGTGGTTATACATACTAGGCAGCCTCTTGAGAAGATATCAGATTATAGGAAATCCCTCTGAGGTGAAAAGCATAGGCACGCGATTTTGAGTCCATGAACTCCTGAGTAAAGGCTGTGGAAATGAGCAGAGGGTTGAAGTATATACTTGTATAGCCTAAAGGGGTAGTTAGGTTGATAATTAGCTAATCCATCGCTTAAGACATCACATATAACTTGAGAGTGTAGAAAGCAAGAATATGGAATCCACAAGAGTGGCTTACCAGTTTGGTGCTGCCCCTACATCAAAGAGGCCAAAAGTTTCAAATCCCTTGGTGCTGGTATTGTTGTTTGAATCTGCCCAATTCGCAAGACATAAGCTTTGTGGGTTAGAATGTAGAATTGTTGTACTTATTCACATTGGTGTCTTGGGTTAACTATAGAGTGCTACAGGGAGGTTTTGAATGGAGTGCAGTTAATGGGGATTTGAATGGCATTAAATCCATAACTATATGCATGAACTAAGAGCTGGAAACGCCGAAAAGGTTGTCAGCAGAGATGTTGTAATCTCTGCAACAGTTGGAATCTACATGACTGCTATAGTCTGTATAAATGGAAGATCAACTTTTAAAGCACATCCATCTCTAAGAATAGTGTAGTAATTATTCGGAGTTCAGCGACTGGGTTGAAAGTGAACTAAGAAAGAAAGCAGAATCCAACTTTTTGGAATATTTGCTGAACTGCTATGAAGCAATGGTGGTCTAAGTGTTTTTAAATGGTTTCGTTGAAATGTTATCTATTAGTTAGTGAAATTTTTTTGTTTTCATTCTCTGGAGTTCCAAATGGTTGTTTGCAGTGCTATTCGTTCTGTGTAAGCCTATTTTTCCAACCTTATCCCTTAGACTGGGTTGTAAAGTGACTTAAAAGATTTCATTTTTGTTTCAGCTTATCGGAAGCTTGCAAGGAGCTATCATCCAGATGTGAACAAGTAAGTTGGTGTCGTTAATGGATGAATGCACCCTTGTATTTTTTGTTTTGTTTAACATTGTCTGCTTTACCTGCTTCATGTTCATTGCTCGAGACATTTTCGGTTGTTGATTTGTGGTAGTTCGCTGCTTTTTTGTCAATGAACAATTAATAGAGTCAGAAGATGTTAATGTGACCGAGGATGCTCTTTCTGTTGGCATTTGTTAAATGTGCTGGTGGACCTTGTCTTCACACTCATGTTCCTTTAGGATTGCAAATTAACAGTAGATAGAAGTATCATGCAACTTCATCTCCTTGGTTAAATATAACTGGTACATTTAAAGGCATTGGGCCTTAAATAAAAGCTTATACTAGCTTTACCAGAAAACTGCAACACCGGAAGTGAAGCCTGAAGTTGAAAAGCAGTGTCTGGCTACTGGACCAAGTCTAGTTACTTTTTCCTGGTTCCTAGGTCAAATGAGCAAACTAAAGTATGGTATCAACTTTAAGTTACTATGAAATTGAAATTGATCTCTGGGAAAACTTTGTTGAGGTATATGTTATGATAATCCTTAAGGATTGGTGATAGGATTACTTCTGCCTGTCATTTTAACTCTTTGATAAGTTGTATGTGGAATTGTTCTTTCACAAAACTAACCGCAGATTCTTATCTACTTACTATACGACTGAGATGTTTGATATGGACTTTTGATAGGTGTGACCTGGTCTAAAATCAGTGTATACCACTACTGCACTATTGTTTAGAACGAAATATTATATACAAATATGCTCAAACCTTCCCTGTTGCCTTTGTCTTTTCTGTATAAGGAAATGGGTGTGAGTAAGTTGGTAGAATGAACTGGGAATCCGGTTATAACTCTGCAGTAAACAACACTTGCTGGAAGTGTGTGTATTTGCTGTTTCCAGTTTTTGACCTTATGGACTATTAATAAATCTAGTGTTTGTATCTGCCCAACCTTGTAAACTCTAATGGGTTTCAGATGAATCTACTTTGTAGCTCCATTCATTTTCCCCCCTGAAATCAAGCATTCAATCCTAGAATTTCCAAGCATCTCCTAGTTTTGTTTTGTGTCTGGATATAATGTGTGGTTGTCAAAAGACATGATAATCTCTTAGCTCCTGGTGTCACTGTTGTCTGAGTGATGTTTTTGTTGAGCAAGATAGATTCCAGATTGATGTTTAGCTCGGATTAGTCCTAATGGTAACTCTGAAGTTTCCCTCGTACAAGCGCAAAATTGGTTTGTCATGTAATATTGTACAAGCACAAAATTGGTTCATTTTAATTGATCTTTGCTGTTGTCCAGAGATCCCGGAGCAGAGCAGAAGTTCAAGGACATAAGTAATGCATATGAGGTAAGAAACATACGTCTTTGTTCATCTTATTTACATGTCCGTCATCCTAAGCCACGAAAGCTAAGCATCAAGTCGTAATGCAGGTCTTGTCCGATGATGAGAAACGATCTTTATACGACCGATATGGCGAGGCTGGGATTAAAGGCGCTGCTGGCATGGGAGCATCGGTACGACTATATTTCTTGTGCTCTCATGTTCATTTCTTTTGCAGCAATTCCTTTCAAGAACAAGAAATAAGTATGTTATCTTCTACAACAGGATTTCAGCAACCCATTCGATCTATTCGAGTCGTTATTCGACATGGGCAACATGGGCGGTATGGGTGGCAGGGGAGGCTCCAGAAACAGGGCAGTCGACGGCCAGGATGAATACTACAACCTCGTGTTAACATTCAACGAAGCAGTCTTCGGCGTCGAAAAGGAGATCGAAATCTCCCTCCTCGAAAGCTGCGGCACCTGCAACGGCTCCGGAGCCAAGCCCGGAACAAAGCCAACAAAATGCAACACCTGTGGCGGGCAAGGACAGGTCGTAACTTCAGCTCGAACCCCCCTCGGCGTCTTCCAGCAGGTGATGACCTGCAACACGTGCGGCGGTGCTGGGGAAACGTTCAGCCCGTGCAACACGTGTTCTGGCGACGGACGAGTCAGGAAGGCGAAGCGAATCAGCTTGAAAGTACCCGCTGGAGTGGACTCCGGCAGCAGGCTGAGGGTCCGGTCGGAAGGCAATGCCGGGAGGAGAGGTGGTGGCCCCGGCGATCTCTATGTGATGATCGAGGTCATCCCGGACCTTGTCCTGAAGCGTGATGGCACCAACATTCTGTACTCGTGTAAGATCTCGTACGTGGACGCGATATTGGGGACCGCGATTAAGGTCCCGACGGTGGATGGGATGGTTGATCTGAAGATCCCCGGAGGGACACAACCCAACACTACCTTGGTGATGGCGAAGAAAGGCGTCCCGGTGTTGAACAAGAGTAATATGAGAGGGGATCAGCTGGTCCGGGTGCAGGTCGAGATTCCGAAGAGGCTGAGCAGCGAGGAGAGGAAGCTTGTTGAAGAACTTGCTGATCTAAGTAAGGGTAGTAAAACAGCCAACAACCGGAGATAGCCTATTTTACGTTATTACATGCTTACGGGTCAAAATGCATCGGCGGCCGGCTCATATTCGGAAAGATTCAACACTAGGACAATGTTAGCTATACCTTTGGTTATTACAGCAGAAACTATTAACAACTTGTTGAGGATACTTTGGTTGCGCAAGTTGTTTGGTTAGTTGTGAACGACACCGTCACCATCTTTAGACTGCTTAAATTTCTTGATGGCAATGGATTTGATGAAAACCAATAAGGATGTATTTCGAAATTTTCAATTTAATTCGATTCCGAATGTATAGCAAACATATTTCATTTCTAAATATTTGAGCATAACATACAAAAACACAAGAATTAATTTAAAAATGAATTTTACAGAGTAATTCATTTTAAACTGAATTGAACCACTTTCCGGAATTTGCAGACGTGTTTCTAATTTCTCGCCAAGGACTAAATTGTTTTGTACTTTATTTTTTCTTCTCCAATGAGGGAGGTTTTAGCTTTTAGGCTCCAGCCTCATCCTCCAACTTCGTAGTAGTCGTATGTGCTTCTTCTAAGTTCTACCCGCTGCCTGCAAACGCGTCGTTCTCTCTCTGGCCCTTCTCTCTCTCTTATCTGGGAGAGCGAAGTGAAAGATTGTGGCTTCAGGAGACCAGACCACAACCAAGGAGCAGGTTAGTTTGTTTGTTCGTTTCCCATTGAAATGCTCCCCCTTTCACCCAATTCCTGTTCCTTCAGAGGGGAAAAGTTGTCATTTTTACCTTCCCTTTTGTTCTGGTTCACTAGGTTTTGCTTTGGTTTCGTTCATTCATTTGTTACTGCGTTCAATTCGTTGAATACCCATTATTGGTTGCTTCGTTCTTGTCATTGATTCACGAATCACGACAACACTCTGGTTCTGCGGTTGTTGAGAGCAACCTAGCAATGATAATGAGATATATAGATGTGCCTGCAGCGTTTTGATTGGACAGTTATGTTTGAATCGTTGCCACTGTCGATGGAAGGAGGGTTTCTCGTTGAACCCGGACAAGATTTCTTTTAGCTTTTTGGGGTTCAGTTGTTGCGTCACCGAGAGCAGGATAGTTTATCAGAGGATAGATTGATGATAGTGCAAGGGAACTTTTGAGTTTTGATGAAAGAATGTTGAAAGCGTGAGGCTTTATGGAAGCTGAGCTGTCTAGGAACTACTAACTTCTATGATTTTATCGTCTCGCTAATGTGATTGGTTTTGAAGGTTGAATTCAGTCTCAGTATGTTTAACTTGGTTCGAATTTAATAGTCGTTTTATCTTTTCATCTTGTTTAGGGCCATTCAGATCCTGCATCCTGTTAAATGGCCATCATTCATTGTGGAAGCACATCCCTTGCCCAATGGGGGACAAGACCTCAGCTTATGCCGAGGTCATTAATGACAAACAGAATAGTGATGTGCCAATATAGGTATGTGTGCTTAGCACTTACTTTCTTATGCAGAAAATATCATTTTTAGGAAATAGGCCACGGTAGCCAGTCGGTCTACTCTTCTTTGTTTTAATTTACTGTATTCACTTAATTATGCAGCCTAGACAGCAGGATGAGCCATCTATCAGCGCCGAGTTCGAGCTTCTTGTCACGGGATTCCTTGCCTGTGATATCTTTTATGGGACCATCCCCTAAGTTGCGTCAACGTAGGGGATCACGGTTTACAGTTAGAGCAGATGCTGTGAGTGTCTTCTGTAAATCAGTCTGTCATATTTGAAAAGTAGTAGCTGTCTGAATCTTTTGGTTGTTTGTTCAGTTTATTTTGTATTTGACTACTTCTCTTCACCATTCTTAATTATGCTTGTAACATTTTCATATTTACAGGACTTCTATTCTGTACTTGGAGTGTCAAAGAATGCAACTAAATCTGAGATTAAAAGTGGTATGTGAATCCTCTAGTGTTTTTTCTCTAATAATGAATCTCATTATGGATTTTTGAGTTTTTGTCTGGCAATTCCAAACGGCCCAATGTATAATTAGTATTACTTTTGGGATGTTGTGGGCATATATGCTAGACAGCCTAATGAGAAGATGCCAGATAGAAATCCCTCTGAGACGAAAAGGATAGGCACCCGATTTTGAGTCCATGAACTCCTGATCAAAGGCTATGGAAATGAGCAGGGGGTTGAAGTATATATTGTTATTGCCTAACGGGGTAGTTAGGTTGATAATTAGCTAACCCATCACTTAAGGCGTCACATATATATATAACTTAAAACTGCAGAAAGCAAGAGTGTTGAATCCACAACCACAAGAGTGGCTTACCAGTTTGGTGCTGCCCCTACATCAAAGAGGTGAAAAGATTCAAATTCCTTGGTGCTGGTATTGTTGTTTGAATCTGCCCAATTCACAAGATATAAGCTTTGTGGGTTAGAATGTACAATTGTTGGACTTAATTCTGGTGGTGTCTTGGGCATTAAATCCATAACTATTTGCATGAACTAAGAGTTGGAGAAGGTTCTCAGCAGCGATGGTGTAATCTCGGCAACAGTTGGAATGTACATGACTGCTATCGTCTGTATAAACGGAAGATCAATTTTTAAAGCACATCCATCTAACTTTTCGGAATATTTGCTGAAGTGCTATGAAGCAATGGTGGTCTAAGTGTTTTTAAATGGATTCCTGGAAATGTTATGTATTTGTAGTGAGAAAATTTTGGTTTCATGGTTGTTTGCAGTGCTATTCTTTCTGCGTAAGCCTATTTTTCCAGCCGTATCCCCCTAAAGTGGGTTGTAAAGTGACTAAAAATATTTTATTTTTGGTTTCAGCATATCGGAAGCTTGCAAGGAGCTATCATCCAGATGTGAACAAGTAAGTTGGTGTTGTTAATGGATGAATGCGCCCTTGTATTTTTTTTAACATTGTCTGCTTTACCTGCTTCATGTTCATTGCGCGAGACATTTTCGGTTGTTGATTTGTGGTAGTTCGCTGCTTTTTTGTCAATGAATAATTAATAGAGCTGGAAGATGTTAATGAGACCGAGGATGCTCTTTCTGTTCTCATTTGTTAAATGTGCTGGTGGACCTAGTCTTCACACTCATGTTTCTTTAGGATCACAGATTAACAGTAGATAGAAGTGTCATGCAACTTTATCTCCTTGATTAAATATAATTGGTACATTTAAAGACATTGGGCCTTCAATAAAAGATTATATTATCTTTACCAGAAAACTGCAACACCGGAAGTGAAGCCTGAAGTTGAAAAGCAGTGTCTGGCTACTGGACCAAGTCTAGTTACTTCTTCCTAGGTTAATTGAACAGACTTAAGTATGGTATCAATTTAGACGACTGAAATGTTTGATATGGACTTTTAATAGGTGTGACATGGTCTAAAATCAGTGTATACCACTACTGCACTGTTGTTTAGAACGTAGTATTATATGCAAATATGCTCAAACCTTCCGCCTTTGTCTTTTCTGCTCAAGGAAATGGGTGTGAGTAAGCTTGGGAGAAGGAGCTAGGAATCCGGTTATAATTCTGCAGTAAACAACCCATGCTGGAAGTGTGTATTTGTTTTTTCCAGTTTGACATTATGGACTATTAATAAATCTAGTGTTTGTATCTGTCAACCTTGTACACTCAAATGGGTTTCAGATGAATCTACTCTGTACCTCCATTCATTTCCCCCCCTGAAATCAAGCATTCAATCCTAGAATTTCCAGGCATAACATCTCCTAGTTTTTTTTGTCTGGGTATAATGTGTGGTAGTCGAAAGACATGATAATCTCTTAACTCCTGGAGTCACTGTTGTCCGAGTGATGTTTTATTGAGCAAGATAGATTCGATATTGATGTTTTGCTCGGATTAGTCCTAATGGGGACTCTGAAGTTCCCCTTGTACAAGCACAAAATTGGTCTGTTTAATTGATCTTTGCTGTTGTCCAGAGATCCCGGGGCAGAGCAGAAGTTCAAGGACATAAGTAATGCATACGAGGTAAGGAACATTACGTCTTTGTTCATCTTAGATACATGTACGTCATCCTAAGCTACGAGACTAAGTATTAAGTCGTAATGCAGGTCTTGTCCGATGATGAGAAAAGATCTTTATACGACCGATATGGCGAGGCTGGGGTTAAAGGCGCCGCTGGCATGGGAGCATCGGTACGACTATATTTCTTGTGCTCTCATGTTCATTTCTTTCGCAGCAATTCCTTTTAAGAATAAGTATGCTATCTTCTACAACAGGATTTCAGCAACCCATTCGATCTATTCGAGTCGTTATTCGACATGGGCAACATGGGCGGTATGGGAGGCAGAGGAGGCTCGAGAAACAGGGCAGTCGACGGCCAGGACGAATACTACAACCTCGTGTTAACATTCAACGAAGCAGTCTTTGGCATCGAAAAGGAGATCGAAATCTCCCTCCTCGAAAGCTGCGGCACCTGCAACGGCTCCGGAGCCAAGCCCGGAACAAAGCCAATGAAATGCAACACCTGTGGCGGACAAGGACAGGTCGTAACTTCAGCTCGAACTCCCCTCGGCGTCTTCCAGCAGGTGATGACCTGCAACACGTGCGGCGGTGCTGGGGAAACATTCAGCCCATGCAACAAGTGTTCCGGTGATGGACGAGTCAGAAAGACGAAGCGAATCAGCCTGAAAGTTCCTGCTGGAGTGGACTCCGGCAGCAGGCTGAGGGTCCGGTCGGAAGGCAATGCCGGGAGGAGAGGTGGTAGCCCCGGCGACCTCTATGTGATGATCGAGGTCATCCCGGACCCTGTCCTGAAGCGTGATGGTACAAACATTCTGTACTCTTGTAAGATCTCGTACGTGGATGCGATATTGGGGACCGCGATTAAGGTCCCGACAGTGGATGGGATGGTTGATCTGAAGATCCCCGGAGGGACACAACCCAACACTACCTTGGTGATGGCGAAGAAAGGCGTCCCGGTGTTGAACAAGAGTAATATGAGAGGGGATCAGCTGGTTCGGGTGCAGGTCGAGATTCCGAAGAGGCTGAGCAGCGAGGAGAGGAAGCTTGTTGAAGAACTTGCTGATCTAAGTAAGGGTAGTAAAACAGCCAACAACCGAAGATAGCCTATTCGAAAAGATTCAACATTAGGACAATGATAGCTATATATTTGATTATTACAACAGAAACTATTAGCAACTTGTTGAGGATATTTTGGTTGCGCAAGTTGTTTATGGCAATGTGGGATGCTTTTAGGGGACCTAAATCGGAATGCGCTGCTGCGACACCTTGTTCCTGACAATCAATATGACGGCATGTAGATCCGGTTCGTTTGCGTAGCAATCTACCTCTTCTGCTCCGACAGGAAGAAGCATATCAAGGTCCTCTCCCTCGACCTGCTAGAAGTTGCCTTCGTCAGTGGCGGAGCCACATTATGGGTAGGAGGGGCCTTTTTTGGTCACCAGCAAAACTGCAAAAGAATCGTCACTAAAAATCCTTTTCCTGTGACTAGGACAGAAAATGGTGATAAAGACGAAGAGCTTGGAGTACATGCTGTTTTACCTGTCACTGGAACCTGAATAATTAATTTTCAATCGCATTTGTTCGTTGATTTTGGGTGATATATTTCCTCCGGTACCTTTGGAGGGTAAAGCCATGCTGGCGATTTTCTGCAAGTTGAATCTCCAATTGCAACAGGATAGCAAATAATTTAACAAGGAAAAGAACCCCTCAGATTACTTTCAGACACTGTCAGAGAAACAAAACAACTCACACTGCTTAGTACTACTAAGTTACAAGTGGATGATAGTCTTCTTATAATATCGAGACATGCAATGCAACAAAAGCTGGCTTTTTTCTTGGGTAGGGAGCAGTCTTGCAGACAGATGCTGGAGATGGGGAGGCTTGGTTTGCTGCTTTCGAGTCGAATGATAGAAAAAAGCTGTTGTCAGAAGAATATGATCGAGACACCCATCGTCAGGCACCCTGCAGCTACCCAGGGGCTTAACCGTTCACCTGTGTTCCTCCACACGGTACAAACATCAGCGCAACTGCGAAAAAACTCGGGACAATCCCGAGCAATACGTAATAGAACAGGTAACGAATCTATGGTTGACAGCAGGATTCTGTTATTTGTATTCTGTTCTAGCCCTCAAAGAGCCTATGGAGAATCGAATTACATAACAGCTACGTCCTTAACGAGATAATAATGCTAGTAGAACTATGAATGTGTTCTGGAGATTCTGTTCTGGTTAGATCTTATGAAATCGTGAAGCAAGGGTTTACTACAAACGTACCTATTCTGGCTGCTTTCCAAAAGAAACCGCGGAATCTGTAACGAACAAACAACTCGGAACTCATCTCAGAGGCCAAGCGAGACAAGAATAGTGAAAGCAGAAAGAAAGAAAGAAAGAAAGAAAAAGAGGATGCAAGAGGGTTAAGCAGTAGCAGTAATCACCCACCCGGTTTTCTGTTCGAGAATGGTGGGGAATTGCATCTTCAAGAAAGTGCAAGTGCAGATCACCAGCAGCACCACCGTCAGAAACGAATGGAAATTGAAAAGCGCCGACTGCAGAATTCAGTTAATTACACCCACAAACGAGAACCCCTCTAAGATTCAATCTGAATCTCCCGATCACTGATTCTGATGGAAAAGAATGGAAAAGGATTGAGCTTTCCACGTACCATGTTTACTTCTTCGGCTTCCGCTTCTTCCCTTTTGATCGTTGATTATTTCCTTTCCTGACTCCAGGTACAGTCGAAAAGCAGCTTACCGCAGGACTCGTGTGCCAGCCTCACTGGGAAATGTAACAATCAAAAGACGTCGTCTTTCTAACTTGTCTCGTTAGCCGGCCTGTATGCTGTATCCCTCCTTTTCATCGTCTACTCAGCAATAGCCAGGGTAACTTCCTGCAATAAAGCCATGACGTGAAAATTAGGTGCCTTTCTATTTTTGTGGCTTTGAGCTGTAAGATTAGGGTGAGTAGGCTTTCCATTGTTCACATAATTGCTTCAGTAAATTCAGGAGGAAAAACAACAAGACGGTACATTATTGTAAGCCGAAATCAGAATACACATTTGTTGAACTCATCTGCATCAGTGAACTGCAATACATGGTAATTGTGTTACAGCTGCTTGATACAAATCCCTTAAAATTGGGAACTGTGACTCCATGGAGTATAAATAAGACGATCACAGCGAGATAAAATCATACATAGTACAGATACCACGGGCTCTTTGTTAGATAGCCACTTTGTTGTGAAAATTTCTGCTCTTCGATTTTTAAGTGAAAAAACTGTGCATACAAGCAGCGAGCAGGCAGTGGCAGACAGATCAAATGGATCCAGGATAGAGCAATGATGGCTTGGAATAGCGTCTGGATTTCTGCTCGTCCGATTAGCGTCTGGATTTCTGCTGTGGAGGGTATCCAGCCCCCATAGGCGGATCTTTCCTTCTCAGGTGAGGTTGCTGATGGGCCTGAGCAACACCTCGACCCATTGGCATTCCTCCTGGATTCATCCCTCCCATTCCGGCCTGAGCCTGGAGATTGTAAGCTGCCATACCCTGAGGTTGCATTCTCTGCATCCCCATGTGCATAGGTCGAGGACCACCTCGGCCCATTCCATGAGCACCTGCCATCATTGCATTCCCAGAAACCATCTGTTGTGGAGGCTGAAGGCTAGTCGTTCCTTCAAAATCGGTATTCGTGTCAACAGGACGAGTAGGATAATTGATCACTTTCTCCCCTGGCTGAACCGGCACAAGAGCATTTCTTCCCGGCGAAGGTTCCATCTTGAAGTACTCATGATCAAGTGCCTGTGCAGCTGTTATCCGCTTTCTAGGATCATATTCAAGCATCTTAGAAAGCAGATCAAATGGAGCACTTTTGGGAGAGAGATGCACTACACTGTGTAGTGCATTGGTTTCATACTTGTGACCTTGGATGTGCTGAATATCAGATTGCCAATGAGGAAGGTTCACAAGTGTTGGCCACTTTTCTTGTGTGGGATGGCCTAATATCTTGAAAATCTTGTCGAGCTGATCGAGCTGGAAAGGGTTCGGTGTCGACTTGGCCTCTGCACCTTGAAAGAGGGGCTTCAAAGTCAAGAGCTCAGCAAAAATGCATCCAACAGCCCACATATCAACAGCGCTCGTGTAATGCTTCGCCCCAAGGAGCAACTCGGGAGCACGATACCAAATTGTTACCACAACACCATTATCGGACAACGGTTTCAACGGAGCTTGATAAATCCTTGCTAGCCCAAAATCGGCAATCTTGATGGCTCCATGCTCTTCACCATCTCCCATCACGAGGATGTTGGACGGCTTGAGGTCTCGGTGCACGATCCAGTTGCTGTGGAGATAGTTCAACCCGTTGAGCAGCTGCCAGAGCAGAGATTTGACCGTATACTGATTGATCGGGTGGTTGAGCTTCTCTCTGTGGTGCCTGATGATCTCGTAGAGGTCGTGCTCAGCATAGTCGAACGCCAGGTAGAGTGACATGTCGTTGTGGTTGATGTGTACGTTGACGAGCTTCACAACGTTCTCGTGCGTTATTTCTCGTAACAACATGATCTCGCGGATGGCGGTGGGGGAGACACCGTCACCATCTTTAGACTGCTTAAATTTCTTGATGGCGATGGATTTGCCACGGCTTGAAGGCGGTGACTTGGTTTTGGCCAAGAATACAAGACCGTAAGTACCTTCCCCGATCTTGCCAATAAGGTTGTACTGCTGGAGCCATTCTGGCTTCTCACTGTTGCCACCACCACCACTGCCTCTGTTGTTGCTACCATCTCCCATTGTCTTTCTAAGTTGAACAGCAAGCCCCAACTGAGCTCACCTCACATCAGAGCATGTTTTGTTGTCCAAGACAATAAGATGGAAATGCCACCACCCAATAGCTTGTTGCAATTGTTAACTACAAAAATTGACGAGATGAAAGAAAAGGATCAGAAATGTCTCCAGTAACTACAATCTTTCAATCAGAATAGTGTCAAGCACTACTAAATCCTACAGACTGCACTTTGCAACATTAGAACTAGATGCAGAAGAGATTTTTGAACTGGTCAAGAGCCATAGATAAGGGACTCAGAATGATAAAGAATAGTGAGAACTAGGCACCAGCTTCCACAACACTTCGTTGGAAAAATTCTCTATCTAGTCCAGCTATGGAAGACGCACTTAGGGTTCTTCGGCTGGTTTGTTAAGTAAACAAATGTCTAAGCTTTTGAGCAATCAAATGAGTTCTTCCAAACCCAACAGCTGAAATTTGCTGAAAAGTATTATACTTCTCCCACCCACATCATCTCTTGCGCAGGGGGGGAAAGCAGTAAACTTCAATCGATTGAAGTACCAACCAAATTGCCCACAAAATACCTACCTCTGCAGAACCAAAAAACACTCGGGAAACCGCAAAATTATTGAAAACAGCGAAGAAAGAAGGAATTGCTTCGCTTACAGTAACTGAGAAACAAGAGCTGCGGATCCGAAAAGCCAGAGTAACTTAGGATCGGAAGATGGCATGAAAAGAACGAGGAGATGAACGCCGGCGAACGGAGCAAGCGGGCGGTTGCAGGGACGCCTGACAACGAGGAGCCGAGTAGAGAGAGGGAGTTCCAGGTCCGGATCCGAATCAGATGGCTGAAGGACTGAAAGAGAAGCTAGGTGGTTGGATCTTTGGCCAAAAATGGAGACAAAAATTTATGAACCGACGAAAATACCAAGTCGGATCTTCTTTTACCGTTGCCGTTTCCGGGAGTTAATTAGATGTGGCCTACGGCGACTTGTGAGTTTTGAGCCCCCTTAGTCCTTACTACAACTAGTCTAGATTCTAGACCCAATTTTGGGTTAATCTCGCCGAAGAGCGCCTAAAGTTAGGCACAGTTTATATTTCAGGCACAAAATTTTAAGCCAAAAATAACCACAACATGTGATTTGAATCGGATTATTTGGTTATTGGAAGTTACGAGGTCTCGCTTGTGTTTGGATTTTTGTTCTGGGTATGGTTTGTAACCGTTTTTCTTTACTAGATTAGATTAAGGTTAGACCACATGAATAAGTGTTATAAATACTTCTCATACTCCTTTGTAATATGTATCTCATTGAAGTATAGTGTCGGGTATAGTGAAACCGACTCTCTCCTTCCACTCGACTAGCTAACACAAATTGTGTTAGTGGACCACATAAATTCGTGTGTTGTGTTTCGGTTATTGCTTTCGTTTTCTTGCTTTGTCGATCCTCCGATTTCTTGATCCGTAGAAAACAGTCGTGATACCCACAATTTTCGAGTTTGTGATAGTAATAGCTATTTTTGGAGAAATACACCAAATAATCTTATTTTCGGATGATTGTAGGATAAATCTAGCCATTTCCATTACAACATTTAATGGTGTTAGAGATTCCGTCAGTTAGTTTAACAATATGCTGATTAGGATACCTTGCTAGTTGAATAAAGCATAACTCATATTAGGTTGCAAATGAGTTTAGCCGAGTTGAATTTGACCTACTTCATTTTCAATTCGTGAAAGATTGACTCGTATTTAACTTCAAGAATTTTAATCGAGTTCCACCCATCGATGAGCTCATCGGTTCGACTTGAGCTCATATATCTTATTCTTTGATTCAAACATTTCAATTCTTCATATGTTATTCAATAAAAACTTGTATTTAAGCAATTTGTGATATATAGCTTGTATTTTAAATTTTAATTTGAGACATATTCTCTTATGAGAGTCTTGAGCATTTGTAGCTCTGTCCTCTATGTATTATGATAAACATATGAATAGTCAACAAGTCAACTCATAAATTATAGATTGACTAGCTGATAAGTTGATAGTCAAGTTGGCTTGCTAGTCGCGCTATAAGCAACTTATTATTTCAAAACGAGCTCACTCACGAGCTGAACTCAACACGCCACAAGTCGAGCTAACTCGCATGCCTCTTGCGAGTTGAATAAAGTATAGTTCCAGCTCGATATATTGACTAACCAACCAAGTGTCAAACAAACGTTTATCACATGTTTTGCCATACCTCGTATATAATTTGATTTCTCCCAAATCAAATGTTTAAATTTGATTTCTATAAAAAAAAAATGTTTAAATTTGATTAATTGATTATCAATTTTTAATTTTTAGCAGGAGTAGTCTTTTTGAAAGCAGTCCATACTATTCTTCCATTCCATCACATTATACCTATACCGTACCAATTCAAATTAGGCAAAATACACTTGTGTAGCCAAAATTTTGATGGTTTGGTCAAATATAGCCATTTTTGGAGATATACCAAAAATAGCCAATTTCGTCCAATTGTTTGACGGTGTTAGTTAGCGTGCTGACTGGACTAACGACAATGGATAACGTGGGAACATTTAAGCAAAACATTTCCAAGTGGATTTTCACTTAAAAACTAAAAAAAAACAAAGACCAGTTTCTCCATGGTTGGGTCATTCTCCACTTTACTCTCTCTCTCTTGGCCGCTTCTTTCTCCATCTCCAGAACCTTCCCCACGTCAATCTCCCCTTGTCCTTTTTCCTCTTCCTCATCTGCAACCTAATGCCAAGTGTTTCACTCCATCTCAATCTCTCCACCCATCTCTGAAACCATGCCTCCAACGATACAAATCTTCCCATCTCGAGCAAAGCAACAGATCTCGTGATAGAAAGTGATGGAAACTTGAAGATTTTAAATGGCACCGATGACCAAATTGCTGCCGTGAACCCCCGTCCAAGGAGTTATAGGTAAAACAAGTGCCATTTTACTTAGATTCCGGCAATTTTATTCTCCAGAAGCTGAATCCGGATGGGACAGTGAAGCGGGAGATGTGACAGAGCTTCGATTATGCAATGGATACCATTCTCCTGGGGATGAAATTGGGAGTCGAACTCAGATTTTCTGAATTATTTGCCAACAATCGGTCGATATCCTCAATCACCGAACGGGTCGTCGTCTTCAAGAGGAGCGCTCGTAGATCTGAATCATCCAAGATTTGGAGACATCAATTTAGGAATTTGGGGGTTTCTCTTTGCACCAACACTCTCTAACAGTCGTCGTCGACCTTCAGCTCGTGCTCGAGTATACTCCCAAAGCCGAGGCCAAAGCAGCAGAGGAGATGAGATGGGAGAAGGAGATATAGAGAGACGGAGAGGGAAATCGCTGCAGTGATTGAGGGGACAGCGGCGGTGGCAGATTTAGTGACAGAATAGTCAGGATCTGGACGAGGAAGGCTTGCCGGGGGCAGAAGTTGTGGGAAAGAGCTGGGTTTTGAAATGACATTCTGGGTTTCTCCATGGAGTTTTTGGGAGATTTTTCCAGAAACAGCATTGTTTAATTTTTTTTTTTCCAAAAATAGCACCCAACTCTGAAAAATTCCAAAAATAGCACCATTTTTGTAAAACCGCAATCCGGAGGTGCGTTTTTCGATGAAAACGCCACCCGAGGGCGCTTTTTTCGATGCAACCGCACTGGTAGGGAGCGGTTTTGCAAACCGCACCCCCAGGGTGCGATCTGTCTTTTTTTTTTTTTTTTTTTGCAAACCGCACCCCCAAGGTGCGATCTGTTTTTTTTTTTTTTTTTTTTTTTGAAAAATCCTAACTTAGGTGGAAACTTCAAACGAACGTATCTTTATGTTCGGGTATCCGATCGTCGCGATTTTTTTTTGATTCCGCATAATTTTTCGAGATCTTGCAAGCCGCAAAATGCCGAAGGCGGTTTGGTCCCGCCTTCGTCCCGAAAAAACGTCGTTTGCTACCCCGAACGAGCCTTTTTTCGATTTCGTCAAACTTTGAACGACCATAACTTTGTGCTCCACAATCCGAAAATCATGAACTTTTTTTTGATTTTGCATAACTTTTTGAGGACTACAATTTTTTCTAGGAGAAATTTTTCAAAAAATGAATTATTTTGGATATACGGGGTTTTGGGAATAAGTTTACCTTTCTTTTTAGGAATCCAAGTACATTCCGAAATTATGTCTATGATAAAAAATTTAGTCCTCAAAAAGTTATGCAAAATAAAAAAAAAAATCATGATTTTCGGATTGTGGAGCACAAAGTTATGGTCGTTCAAAGTTTGACGAAATCGAAAAAATGCTCGTTCGGGGTAGCAAACGACATTTTTTTGTTCGAAAGCGAGACCAAACCACCTTTGGCAGTCTTCGGCTTGCAAGATCTCAAAAAGTTATGCGGAATCAAAAAAAAATCGCGGCGATCGGATACCCGAACATAAAGATACGTTTGTTTGAAGTTTCCACCTAAGTTAGGATTTTTCAAAAAAAAAAAAAAAAAAAAACAGATCGCACCCTGGGGGTGCGGTTTGCAAAAAAAAAAAAAAAAAAGGCAGATCGCACCCTGGGGGTGCGGTTTGCAAAACCGCTCCCTACCAGTGCGGGTTTCATCGAAAAACGCGCCCTCGGGTGGCGTTTTCATCGAAAAACGCACCTCCGGGTTGCGGTTTAAAAAAAATGGTGCTATTTTTGGAATTTTTCGGAGTTGGCTGCTATTTTTGGAATTTTTTTTTAAACAGTGCTATTTCTGAAAAAATCTCAGCTTTTGGCTATGGTGGTTCTGCGTTTGGCTTTTGGAGGCTTATGGAATCAGAGAGAGGGTGGGAGAGAGACGCTTGGAGAGAGAGAGAGAGGACGGAGAAAATAATCAAAAGACTGAACATAATTTTTTATTTCAAAATTAATTATTTTTATAATTCAAAATGACATGTCAATCATATGCTGACCTGTCGCTGATGTGTGTGATGATTTGGCATCCCAATCAGGTTAAAGTTAACGTAACTGACGGTGTTACTGACGGTGTTAAAATATGTAACGGAAATGGCTATATTTGTCATGAAACTTTTAAAATTTTGGCTATATTTGGTATTTCGCCAAAAGTGGCTATTATTGTCACAAACGTCAAAATTATGGCTACACAGATGAATTTTGCCTTCAAATTATACCGACATAAGTATTAGATAAACGAGAGCGAGCAATCAATTTATTCCCGCCACTTCCAGAGTTCGATTTCGTCAGACCTGGAAAAGCATTTCCGAGCATCCCTTCCACAGTCAGCAATGGAGGCGAGCGAGAGGAAGAAGAATCGATGGAGCGTCACTTACACGAAGCACGTCAAGCAGAAGAGGAAAGTTTATCAAGACGGTTTCTTAGATCACTTCATCATCACCAACAAGGTTAACCATCCACCACTCCTCTCTCACTCCAATCGTCTTCCGCGAGATTTCGCAGCTTTCGTAACCCTAGCTTTTCACTGCAGAACTTTCGCTCGGTTTGAGATTTTAGGTTTATATATCGGCGGATTTGGTTGTTCAATCATGCTGGATCTGAATTCCCTTTCGTTTCGTTGTAGGTCATGCTGTTCGACGAGTTCGAGAAGCTACTGGAATGCAGGGTGCTGAAGGACGAAGAAGTCGTTAGCTCCGGCGAGTCGCTGACTTTCAATTCATATCTCGTCGACGTTGGTGATCCGGAAGGTCATCGTATGCCGGTGCCGGAGAGAGATAAGAAGATGCCGCAGCGTGGGCCTAGTGTCGCGACTCGGCAGAAATTCAGATCTCCGTCTATCAATTATGGTGACTGCGTATCTCCACTTACCTTCTTCGCTAGCTGATCAGGTTCCACTTACTTTCTTCGCTAGCTGATCATGTTTCGTTTCTTTCTGAAGGTAGAGAGAATATTGTTGAGAAGAACAAAATCCTTAGGAATGACTTAAGTCCATCGCAGAAGATTATTAGAGGTGTGTTCAGTCAGTTGTGTAGTGGAATGGATGTTAGTTTGTTCTGAAATGAGCATCAGTGTAAAAGTTGTTTGCTCTTCAGAGTTCAAGAAGAATGAGCTGCAGAAGTATGAGGCACCAAAGAGTGGTAAAGATACGGATAAACTTGGCGCTGCAGGTTTGTCACTTAATCTGTTTGAATGAGATGTAGAGCTGTATGAAGTATGGATTAGTCTGGCTCCCTCATGGAAGTCTTGTTCCTTACTCTAAAATAGAGTGGCAGGTCTTGTATACTACTCAAGTGACTAAAAAGGCCAAGACGTACCATGATGGCTTCTTGCGGGTTGCTAACTGTGGATCCTTTCAGAAGCAGGTTGATTTGCTAATACTTTCTAATTCCATTCTTTACTACAGTCTTCATCTTGTTTAGCTAGTATCTTTGGAATTCTGATGTTGTTTCATTCAATAGCTGCTCTAGCTTTCTAAGTTCCCAAACATCCGGTTACTTCGTATCTATGGTGCTTGAATATCGAAACGTGACTTTTGGTTCTCGTTCTCGTTCTATTTGCATACTCTTCAGGTTATGCTGTACGACGTGAGCATGAATTTGTTGACTAGCAGATTCCTAAAGAAAGATGAAGCAGTAGCATCAGGTAGATCCATCTCAATGGATGGTCACCTAATTGAAATTGGAGAGGCTGAGGACGATCGTTCGCATTCAGTGGATATACATGACGGACAAGGGGACGGCTCTGTTAATGGGAAGATCAAAGTGATGCCTGGACGACAGAGTTGTTCTAAAAGCAGCCCCATTGTCATAGAAGGTTTAACTTCTTATAGCTATAAAACTGGTTGTATTCCATTTTCCGTTTTGGTATTTCAATGAATGGCTGATACTGATGTTGGGTTTGGTTTTCCCAACCTTCCTGTAGAACCAAACAGAATAAGCCAGCACTGTTCCTTCTTTCTTTCGTCGCTTTGTTAATGTCCTGGGTCGCCAAGCATCCTTCATCACTTTTCAGTGGTGAAGATGAATTCTGTCATCTAATGAATATGCTTCCATGAACGTGCTGCTTGTAGATGTTGAAGCAAGTGATGCACGAAAGTCTGAACAGGCTTCGGCTGGTGGAAATATAACAACTAGTACTATAACAGGTTCGTGTATACTTTGTATGACATCTGTTTATCATGCAGTGTCGAAGTTTCTTGGTGTTGAATTACAGTCCGATGCATGACATAGTTGCCGTGCAGTGTCTTTTGTCGCCTGCATGACTAAATCGGGGTACACTTGTGACATTGATGTTCATTTACTTGTAAGAGATGCCACTGTGGTGTCTATGTCCATATCTTGAGGATCCTTAGTTCGTTCAACTAGGTTGTCTTGCTATTGTCATTTTATGCACTTCTGCATGCATATCCCTCTATCATGCAGAGTGGCAGGTCATGTACACTTCACAAATGACTCAGAAGGCCAAAAAGTACCATGATGGCTTTCTGAAACTTGAAAATCATGGAACCCGTGGGCGGCAGGTCAGTTCATCATCCTATTCATGTTATAGCCAGTGAACACTCTTGCTCATAGGATCTTTTATGAGTGCATACCTTTTAGTTTAGCTTCCACCTATTGATGCCTGGTCTTTCAATAACCAATTCAGGTCAAGCTGTATGATGTAAGCTGGAACATTCTCATTAGTAGGCAGGTCAAGAAAGATGAAAGAATATGCTCTGGAGAATCAATAGCATTTGGTGGCTATTTGGTTGATATCGGAGAGCTTGAAGGAGACAATCAAGTACTACCAAGCTTAAATAAGGAAAATTGTCCCAAAGAATTTCGCAAGCCAGATAGACTAAATCATGCTTCACTTGGATCCTGGAAATCTACTCTAAAAGGTTGGTTAATGTGTTTGGCTCAATGAAGCCAGTGGTTTCTCCTTTTAAAGCGATGGGCCATTGGTTGAATGCTAATTAAGCTTATTCTACTTCTTTTAACAGAGGAATTACATGTTAATGATCTGCCAAGACAATTTTGCAGCCGTCCTAAATTAGAGAGGACCAAGTTTGCTGAGATTGTTCCTGCAAAACAACCTCTACGTGATGGTTTGTTCCACTCTTGAACTTGTTTTATTGTATTTTCTATGCTAGAAATCAGCAAGAAACGTGATCTTCCCAGCCATGAATCTGTTTCATGTAGATGCGGAACTCATGTGCTCCTCTATTCCCAACCCAGTTGAAGTAATAAGTGGCTGTGGGTTGGCTAAAACAATCTAATCCGGACCAGATTCCCTGCATATTTTCTAAATTTATGCTCATGTTGGATATAGTTTTTAGCAGAAACTCATTTCCTTCGCTTTCACAACAGTTTTCATGCCATTTAGCATTCATTACTGCTGCAAAAAAGTAAAACTGTCTGAAAAGATTGGTGAGATTTAAATGTAAAAGAACCAGTTGATGTGACAACTACGGCAATGGTATATGCTTCGTTGGATTTTTTTTAGCACCATTCTGATGGTGGGTTTTAGCCTTGCAGCTTGGCAGATCTTGTCTGTTCTTAAGAAACCGCCCCAGAAAAGTGCAGATGCAGAATGCATCAACCACAGCCAAATTGGTCGGGCTTCCTCCATTGAGGTGCTTCAAGCTTCAGCTGGAGACTCCGTGTTATTCCCAGTTCTTGGAACTAGTGAAAATATGGCAAGCAAGGATTTAAACATGAGAAATCATTTTGATGTCAGAGAAGGTAAGTGGTCATTTCTCAGTCCTTGTGAGTTGTCCCTTTAGCACATTCACTTTCCTTAAAAGATGCCTTATTGTGAGATAATATCTAACGCTTCATGCCTCGGACTGCAGAAAATACCAGCAGATATAGTCGGATACCTGGTGGCGCTGAAGCTGTCCATAGTAGCCAGGTTTGGACCAAAATGCCTGAAAGCTTTTTAGTTGTCATCTCTTCAGCTTAGATTGAAATACATTTTCCCCCAACTAATGTAACAGCATAATCTAGACAATATGGAAACAAGTACCAAATCTCGGGGCGAAGGTTTGGGGTTCACATACTACAAGTTCTGCAACAACCTTCACCAGAGATGGCCCAAGGAGTGGAAGCAGTAGTTCTGAGCAGCACAATAGAAGCATTGAGGAGTTGCCTAGTTTTGATCTCGGGTTTTGAGAATTGAACTTTGGGTCTATTATTCTTGATATTAAAGTTGTAAATTACATTTACATACTTGTGGCAGAAATTTGTAGGCATGGCCACGCCCATAGTGGCTAGAATTGAGACTAGAAGCTGAAGCATTAGAATTTAGAAGAGATAAATGAAAACTATATTAGTTGTGTCCTCTCCAAAGTCTTCCTTCTAACTTCTTGTTTTCAGATCTCGTCTAATTGCTTGTAGATGGAACCATTATCTTTCTTGGATCCCCGCAAGCTTACCATGGCCCTGAACAGGCGTTTGCTTTTACTGGCCTGCCGCTCATTCTCATTCCTCCCACCATCTATTCCTCTATGTTCCGGCCATGTCACCAATCTCCGTGGAGCTGATGGATTCTGTAAAAAGAAAACAAGACACATGTAAGTTTCAGAAACTCTTTCCTCTATTACCTGTGCTCAATGCTGCATTTCTGCTAATGTGCTTATACCCTTTGCTTCCCATTGGCATAGTTTGGAGAAATTGATCTCTTGAGATACAGAGATCCCGATCGGATAAGAGGGTACCGTTTTGGAGAGTCTACTCTTTTTTTATCTGTTCATTTCCAGAAAAATTCGCTGTCAGCTCAGCAAGTAACATCTCAGCAAGTCCAGTCAACTTAGAAAACCTGTTCTTTTGTTGCCACTTACTGCTACTTCTACCACTACTACTACTAGTCGGACTCCATGAAAATGCCAACGGTGGTTGTCTTGGAGACCCCTGTGAGTGCGTGAACTGTGAATGCCCTTCTCTACACAAACAGCAAGCAAGCATTGTCCACGTGTCAACACATGATTCAAAATGGCACCACAACAAGAAGAAGATAAACAGTTACTGAGATCAATTTACCTCAGAAAGGTGGAAGGGCTGCTGCCACTGGTTTTCTTTTGAACAGCTTTGTCGGAGAACAATGATCATCCAACAAAGAGTGAGTTTACAAGAAAACTGTTAAAAAAGGAAACGGATAAAGGAGAAGTGAAATTACCATTGGTGAAACGATGGAAGTTGAATTCGAGGCTGGAGCTACTTCTACTACTACGAGCTTCATCCTCCTCCGTCGTCACGCTCTCTCCTTCCCATTCTGCAGCCTCCTTCGCGTTCTCTGCTGAACACAAAAACTTCTTATGCACTTTGCAGAAAACCAGCATTGCTTATGGAGATAATTTGAAAAGCCCAAGGTATGAAGATTTCTGCCTGGAATTATGTACTGTTTGTGGTACTTGGGAGCTTTGAACGCCAGAGAGTGCTGATAGATCCCTCCTCGGTTTGTGTAATGCTGCCATGTCTTCTCTCTCTGCAGGAAACGGGAAGTTGGTTTCAGAGCTAAGAGGGGGCATTGAAGCAGGCTGTGATTCCACATTAACTCTTCGTCCAATGAATCACCTGCTCCAGGGAATCGAATCGTTGATCCATTTCTGCAACTTCACTCGTTGTCTGGTCGAGGAAGCTGTTCATCTTGTACGCCACGGAACCCAAGTGGTCGATGGTATTGATCAGGGCTTTAATGGTGTAGTCCTTGCAGGTATCTATCACCCTGCATCGATTGAAGTACAAAGAAATTTCACAGCCTGGCAGTTTAACACGGTTTCAGGCATGGAAATCGGTGTGACTCACATCTCTTTCCTGACTTCATCCCTGTAAGACTCCTCAAACTGTTCAGCTGCAGAGTACAACTGTTTCCTGAGACTCTTCAATTCCTGAAATCTCATCCACCCACTCAATCAGAATTTATGAACCTCAAGCATGAGGAACTGAGGGATTGGTTATTTCCTTACCTTGAGATTGGCAGAGAAGAGTAGTTTCTGCTGCATGAGATGTTCTTCAAAACTTGCAGCAGCAGCTGATCCATATGGATTGGAGCAGGATGAGCTCTTGATCGCCATGAGAGAATTTGTTGTCGACTAAAGAACCAGAGCCGAGTTGAGACAGAGATTAAGAGGGAGCGACAATAAGCAAAAAGTATCGGAGCTGGATTAACTGACTGTTGTTCATGTGACTCTGGGTATAGGACTCGGATCAAATTATTGGAACCAGACAAAGGGAGCTATAATAAGCAAAAGTATGGGAGCTGGATATGCTGCTTTCTGCTTTTTGTCTGCAGGCGTTGAAAGCTAGATATTACCAAACTGTTGGGTCAGGTGAACTGTGACATGGGGAAGAGAAAGTTCATAATAGGCTTAATACATCTGTATAGTCAGAACTTTCGACTTTATGACAATAATAGCCAAATTTTAAAAAATACACTAAAATAGCCATTTCGTCAAAACTTTAACAGAATTCTTATTGATGCTGACTGGACTAACGTTGACATGGTGATTTTCTTCGAAAGTTATGCCAGGTGGAAATACTCCAATACTCCAAAAAAAATAAAGTAAATAATAATAAAAAATTGCATCTCCCCCTCAACGCATCTCCTTCTCGACGAACCCCTCCATCGACCCATCTCTCTCTCCGACGTTTGGTGCTCCTCCTTTTCTTCTTCCTCTTCTAGCGTATTCATGTTGTTCGTTTCCTCGACCTGTTGGTATCGGCGTTGCCGCTTCATCTACCCTTCTCCCTCTGTTCGTCATTCAGATCTGAGTGAAACAGATCGGAGAGAACGAGAGTGACTCGGCAGCGTCGATCGTCGAGACGTTGGCGTGAAAATCATAGGAAAACACCTTTTCAACGCCATCATCAACATCAAGCACGAGGGATCCTTGTTGATCGAAACCCAACCACCGCCAAGGCTCGGCTGACTCCGACATCTATTTTCATATCCGGTCGTGGTCATAGAGGTGTGGGATCTATATCTGCCTATCGTCTCCAGATCTGCCACCGCCTCTTCCAATCTCCTTCACCGAGGAATCCAGAGCTTGCCGGAGAGATTGAGACCGTCCTAGTACTCTGGGCCGCCGCTGACCCTGTATCAGATCTGCATCAAAATTGGGACTTTTTCAATTTTTTGCTTTCTTGCCTGATTGAATGTTGGATTCGAAACTGAAGGGTTTCCATGTTGTTTGAAGTGGGCTGAATTGATCTTCGGAGGTGATGATGCTGCGGCCGTATCAGCGGTGGGGATGGGGAGTTGGAGAGGAGGAAGAGACGGGAGAGAATCAGGTTGTGGAGGGCGGCGACAGCTTCGACAATCGAGAAGGATAGGTCGGGGATTCAGGAAGAGCGACGACCGGTAGTTTGGTGGAAGGGGTGAGGATCGAAACAGCTGAGATTAATGGTCATTTTCATGGATGGGAAGGGTTGTTGAAGAAGGTGTTTGAGGGGAATAAGCTTTACGGGATTTGTGGAGTTCATCTCCATTGATGAATTCAAAAGCTCTCATGTTCTTCTTCTCCTAATTGCACCATCGACGAACACAGAGAGATAGAAGGGTTCTGTGTGTTTGAGAAAGGACACAGAGGCTTTTGAGAAACTTGAAATTAGTGTTCTTGTTTTTCTCAATTATTTTCTTTTTAATAATTTTTTTAATTTAAAATATGACATGGCATCTAAGTGAGCACTACATGTCTAGTTGGAGATGACGGGTTATCCAGGTGGCATCCACATCAGCGTAAAGTCAATATTACTAACGGAGTAACTAACGGTGTTAAAGTTTTTAACGAAAATGGCTAAATTTGTCAAACAAGTTTCGAAAGTGTGGCTATATTTGTGTTTTTTTGAAAATTTGGCTATTATTGTCACAAAGTGTAAAGTTATGGCTATCCAAGTGTATTTTGCCTTCATAATAAAGGTCGGTGTGGAAAGAAAGCTATTGGGGTTTTTTTTATTATGGAGAAATAATGCACACAGATGTCACCCTCTTGGTCCTGGACTCCTGGTAAGGATACTCTGAATCTTCCCCTCAAGTTTTTACTTTGTCCTCCTACCAACGAGTCGATTACCGTAGTTGGAAGTTAGGGGTGTTTGGATGATGGATTTCCGAAATGAGGCAGTTTGATCTAATCGTCTCGAAATCATTTCTAATTGATGCATCAATTTAAAATGATGCAAAACGAAGTGATTCAAACTGCCTCAGTTTAATTGCTGCATCCCTATTATCTGTTGTGAAATGAGACAATTTGATCCAATTGCTTCAATTTTGAGACAATTGGGTTAAATTCTCTCTATCAAACAATGAAACTAGAGTTTGGAGCTAGTGGCGAGAAATAAAAAGTTGAGATACATACATAGCTTTATCGCATCGTACCTCAAACTTGGATTAAGAGACAAATAGACTATCATTTTATAACCTTGGAACAAATATTGCGAGGCTATACCCCTCTTTGTCGATTCGGTTTAGTTACTATAATCTTGGTGGAATGAAAGGGTAGAGTTCTTCTTTTCAAGAAATTTGATTCTCACAGGCCCCAGGAATTTTTATGGCAACAGATGGATTTGGTGGGAGGGTAAAGGCTCGAGGTCTGTAGAAAGGGAATCAATGAGGGAAAGCTACTTGAGAATGAAGGCAGTAGCTTTTGCTGTCATTATTGGTCCGGGCGGAAAGGTTGTGATTCTAATAAAGGAAGGATTCATGAAGTTCAACGGTATCAACCACCATCAGAAAGCCAATTATTGGTTCATCACCGCTACGGTGGCGTCTATCTAACTTGTGAACCACTAGATTTGCTCCTACTCAAAGTGCCCTACGTGAAAAGGGATATTCTCAATTTGACTTGTAGCAGCCGACAAACTGCTTAAGAAGCACCCAAAGGTAACCATAATGCGCCTTGAGCAGGTCTCCAAGTCCAACTACTTGGAATGCAACTTGCTTAGTTGCATTTCACTCAAGGATAGGGGAGAGCACATGACACACTAAGGTAAAGGTGATACATTAGCCAAGAGGGATTTAGATGTTCGAAATTATCGTAGTAGTAACTATTCATGAAATTTAGGGGTGCAATGCAGATTCATATACAGATAATAATTGTCCATTCGAAATTCAGAATGCATCAGAGACGCCCCCATGCAATTTAATCGCTAATTCGAAAATTGATTGCATTGTCCAATACACACGCGTCTTCCATGAGTAAATACTAAATAGTGATGACATCAATTATCGCTTTCATATTGTGACTCCATGATCACAATGAGTGACTTCCATAAATCACTAACCAGTCTTGATAATCCATACATTGGTCGATAAACATGGTGCCATATATTGGATCAATAAACATGCTACCATACATTAGATCGATAAACATGCTGATTTCGTGACATAACTTGACCAAAATCTCGCATCTTTCATCACTAATTAAGAGCAAATTGAGTTTAGTTTTATGTGACAAATATGCTTTCATAAGTTACAAGATAGGCAAAGTCACTTGATTGAATTATTTGGACATAACAATTTGCCAAATGATCAAGTATTATGCATGGCCATGCAAATAATCAAATGCTTAGATCAGATCAGGAAAGCATTACATAGCTCCAACTAATGGCGGCCTGGAACCCTTTCGAGCCAGCCACCAGCGTACGTAGTGCCAGGACAATACGAGGATGCCTGAATTTGTAAGCCCAAAAGGGTAATGTCCAAATGATTTTCTTTAACACTTAAAGACAATGGGTTTCAGAAAACAAAACGCTGAAAGTCTCGATGACACTACAGGTTTCACAATGATGCTTCCAAACACATAACTTTCAGCGAATCGGCATGCACTCCCACGAACATCGAGTCCCATTGAAGCACTACAGATGAGGAGAACCTACATGTTCTCTGTTTTCTCCACGAACAAACAACTTTAAGGCGGTGGAGGTTTGTGTAACAGCCGCCAGAGCAAGAGCAGTCGCACTAGACAATCCGCTCCAACTCCCGGGCATAGCTGAGAGTCTGGTTGATTAGTTGCAGGGACGGGATCTCCTTGCAAGGTGCGGTTTCCTTTGCCTTCTGGAAGATGACAGACCCATCTTTTATTTCCCACTCCGGATGCTCCTGCATGAACATAGTGGAGCAGAAAAACTTATATGATTTCTCATGGTGCATAACAAATCTCTAAGAGGTATTACATAGAATAAGTAATTCCGCAGTCTACCAGTGACCAGCACACATGAAATAAGTAGAGACCTTTACCTCATTGATGTACTTCAGGAGTTCATTATCGGATGAGAAGAGCAACATTTGGCGTGCATCGTTTATTGAAAGGAAGTCATATGCCTTCTCGCTGCACCCAGCTATCTCGTCCCTGGAAGTGACAGAGAAACAAATAACTGAACTTGGACACATAAAGTAACATCAGTATTCAATAAAAAACAAAACCCTGCTTTCAAGATTAAATATAGCCTTTCACCTAGTTTGCCACAAAATCACCTGAAACCTAAGTTCATAAAGACAACTATACATGAATGGAAGAGAAACAATTATGCACGGTACCGACAGAGCATGCTGTTCTTTATACTGGTTACTTTGCTGAGAACTAATACTAAAAGATGACATCAAAAGCACTGAAATCTAGAACGGATGGATGATATCAATTGTGAATCTACCTCAAAGACAACACACTTCACAAGAAAAAGAACAACGTAGAAATCTTATGCACCAAGCAAATGCATCCATGGTAACAATTGCAGCTGCCTCATCAACTGCCAAATCCACACACATTAAATTACCTAACTGTCTTTGCCAAAAGATCCATGAAGTAGTCATAGCTCTGGTTTGGAACAGTTTGTTTTGCAGTCAGCACACGGTTGTATGCCCCTTCCATGAATGACTGCTCCAACTCCACGGCATGCTTGATGCAAGGATCCTCCAGAGACTCAGCTGGAAGCAGTTCTAGTTCAGTGTGGAATTCAGCAATTCTATTCTGAACAAGGAGTCTCAAAAGGTTGAGGCCCAATATCATGTGCTCTTGAGGAGAACGAGGCAGGCGTTTTCTGCTCAGTAGGTAAAATATATGTCAGGGAACAAAGAATCTGCAGTAATGTTAAAACAATTGATATCCTCCAACACACATGAAGAGCACACATTAGAATGCAAATGATGAAAGATTTCATCTGAATTTTGAGACAGCATAAGAAACCGGCAGCTAGTTGAAAAAGGGTGTACTTCATTAACAAGAATTGGAATTCAAGTCACATTTTATTTCACATTCTCCTCCTATTGATAGCAGTTTCTAAGTCCATCTAGAGACAAAGCTACACCCTTTCCATTCTATATTAATCTGGATTACGCTAAGTAGACAAATGAAAGGAGATAATGGAGAACTTACCGAGCGTCTGTATAATAGGGCTTCAGCTGAAAGAAGTCCCTTTCAAATGCATCCTGATCCCCCATCTTCACACTTAGAAGAACAGCATGCTCATAAATATCTCCTGAAAATTGCCACGGAAACAAACCAAAAAAAAAAAAAACTTTAGCAGTAGCAGAACTTCATAAGGGAATTCAACAACAATTCATATGTGTGCTGTTTATTCTCCTATACTGTACTTCCCCATTAGCCAACACCATCACAGCAAATCAATTCACAACGGATCTCAGGTCGAGCATCTAACAACCAAACCGCATTCATTCGTACAGAGAAAAATTAGGGCAAAACAAAACATACTCGCTATCGTCAATTCTTGAACAGCGTTTGGAGTAACTTCGAACAACGGTGGAAGGCTCCGGAAGCTAGTCAACAAGACCTACACAAAAAAGACAGGCCAATTACCGCTCCAAATCCAGGGAATTCAATAAGGAACTAGTCTGCTACAAGCTGAGAACTTCGAAAAAACAGAAGATCGAAGCAGAGAATTAGGGTTTCCAATGGCGAATCTCTCACCTTGAGCTGAGACAACAGATTGGCCGAGGTATCGATATCCTCTCTCACACAAGCCGCTTTGAATCGCTCGAAGTACTGCGACACCTCCGTTAGCTTCGGATCCATCTCTCGAGATTCTGTCGCCGTCGATTATCGTCCGATCTCTACTCCGCCGGCTCACAGTCTCCGTTGCAAGCTTCGTATTTTTCAGAGTGAATTTCCGGTTTTAAAGTTATAATAATCGCTGACTGGCTTGGCTTCGAGTTCAAGAAAAGGCCCATGGATTATAAAGAATCCCGGTGTAGGCCCATTAAAAACAGATTTATAATGGGCCGGATGATTTCATTGAGCCTGGTCGTATAAAATAGAGGCCCATGGATCGTCAAATAATTCGATCGTCTTCCTTATCTTTATCTCCAGGAGCTGCAGCAGCAGCTCAGTCGAACGACAGAGAGAGAGAGCTCGGCAGCTATGGCGACTTCAGCAGTTTCGTCCACTCTATTTTACTCCCCAATTTGCTCCAAATCACTGTCGAAATCCAACCGTTCATCATCTCTTGCGTTCTGTGGGAAGTTACCGGGCAATGCGACGGCGATTGTCACGCGTGGGAGAGAGCGCGAGAGAGCGCCGACGGTAAAGGCACAAACTTTTGATTTCTCCGGCTCGTTTTATCAAGGTGGAGGAAAGGATTTCGACGATGAACCGCCGTCGACGGGAGGAACCGCGACAGCGGTGGAGGAAAAGGAGGCCCATCCTTGCCCACCTGGGCTACGCCAGTACGAGACCATGGCGGTCCTGAGACCGGACATGTCTGAAGATGACCGGCTTACTCTTACCCAGAAGTACGAGGAGGTATAATCTTATAATTGGAGTTGTTCTTTTTCATTTTGCCTTCTGAATTTTGTGATTTCCATTTCATTTCTGTGTCCAATTCCGTTTGCAATTGATATCGTTTCCCATGAGATTGATGATGGTAATGGTTCTATGAGCTATTTGCCCTTGTTGCTGAATCAATCGAGTGGTGCATTATGCATCAAAATGAGAATTGAGATTTCGTAGTATTCAATGAAGTTTGGAGAGGAGTTGTTCCATGAAGGTTTTCAGTTAAGATATGTGGTCACTTTGGATATACATTTGAAGAGTAGCATATTGATTGCTTTGTTTGGATGGCGATTGAAGAAGTATCATGATTGGCATATTAAGAGAGAACTTCAACTGCTGTTACTATACTTTAAGTAGAAGGCACTAAGCATTGAGTGGAACGATGAGTTACAGTTTCTTGTACTGTAAGGTAAAAAGGTTGTAGGATATACTCCAACTGTAGCTTAAAGCATAAGTAGAATGAGGGAATCAAACCTAATGTTGACTATATTGCAGTTGCTAGTTGCTGGGGGTGGGATGTATGTGGAGGTATTCAACAGAGGGGTGATTCCACTGGCCTACAGCATCAGGAAGAAGAACAAAGCCGGGGAAACCAACACTTACTTGGATGGGATCTACCTCCTCTTCACTTACTTCACCAAACCGGACTCCATTACCGCTCTTGAATCGACATTGCAGGCCGATGATGATGTGATTCGATCAACAACCTTCAAATTCAGGAAGAGGAGGTACTAAGAGAGTTTAATCCTGTTCCAGTTCCATGCCCTCTTGCTCGCGACACACTCAAGATAGACGTTGGGACTACCGACTACGAGAGTAAGCAATGCAGTGTAGTGATCTCACAGTTTGTATTCCTTCGGATTTCATTTCATGTTTCTGTAATGTAATCAATCCAATCTACAACACTCGGAACGTCATCTGTTACTTCTAGTTGACGACCCTAACATTGTTGGTGTGGATAGATGTGATCTATGTACAAATTTTGGAATCCTGATATTATTATTACTACATGGCAATCACTTTGAACAGAGCTTGTACCATCCCAATTTTGCTGTCAGCCTGTCACAAAAGAAACCTTAACCAGTGATAGCTAGGAACTGCTCTTAGCTGGTAATTGCTGTATGAACTTTCCCTTTGGTTTCTGCACAGGCTGATGCAGAGCAACCCGGTTCTAGGCCAAGGCATCGAGCAGGGTTTTATTAAGATACTCCACTCCATTGTTAATGCAGCTAAATTCAGTCAGCTTACGGATAAGCATGCATATATGATCTTAGTGCTTCAATAGAATTGAAGGTATCCATTCTAAATCATACTTTTTCACCAACTGAGAAAGCAAAGGGGCAAGAAAGTTTGTACCTTGTTTTCCCCAGTATCTAAAGGCGATGGCTTTACTCATGAAACAATCATTTTCCTGGCCAATGAACAAGAAGGGGATAAAGGCAAGAAGCAAGTAGAAGGGGAGAATATATATCTCTACACATAGCAGCCACACAGAGGTAGAAGGGAGGATATTACAAAGGGACGATGGTGGTATAGCTGCACTTTTGGAACTAAAAGTTCATTTTTTTTTTAAAGATTAGAAGTGAAAAAGGAGGGAAGAAGAGATGATTCCAAATCGCAACAGAGGCAGACATAGTGGCTAGTGGGACTTGCTAGAAGATCTTATCTCATATGAATGATATGCCCACTTTGTGTGAGTGTGCTTTGAAGGGAGGCTCTGTCTTGCCTTTCCTGATCCACCCACCAACACCAGTAGAGATTTTTCCCACAGTGAAGCTGAAAGGTGACACTTCCCCCAGCAAATCAAACTGGTTTCCAGGGGGGGAAAAGATGCTACCTTTCTTCCATCAAGTAGGCTCATATAAAAATTCGCAGCCTCCATCTGATCAGGCAGATCAAAGATATTTGGTGATCTTGTTAATCTAGTGAGTGGGTGAAGAAGAAAAAAGGAAATGTATTCTTCTCCTCAATCCTCATCATGATTAAGAAAAAGAAAAGATGAACTGGGCATGGCATGGCATGTTTATCATAATAAAGTTTACTGCACCTTTCGGATAGAGACTCTGCCACTTTGAACATATGACTGTTGAGCCCTAGAAAGAAGCTCATCTCATCACACTACTTTTATCTGAATAATAGTTCTGTTAATGGTTAGAGTGGATTATGACAATTGAACACAATCCAAACCCGAAATTATTAAAAATGCATATTAGTTCAGTTCATTTGAGTTCGACCAGATACTAATATGGGTCAAGACAATTGGGTCAAATTATCCGGTGGATTGAACCATTGTTATTCCAATCTTTCACTAATGCCATTTGGATGATCATTCAGCACCATGGCATGCTCACTCGTTTCTCGGTCCCTTAACCCCATCCATATCCAAATGGATGGATCAAACTTTTAAGAGGAAGAACATTTTTTAAAGTCAGGATCGAATTTTGATTCGATTCGGTGTCAAACCTATCAAAATCGCACATAACATAACAAGATGAAAATCAATTCATATCCTTAGAAGTAGTTGCCAAGTTTTACATATAGTGCTCATTTGGGAGCATGCTACTATAGTTAGTGGATCGACTTGCTCATTTTCTGGTGTTCGATGTAATGATTAATAGGGCAATAGAATAGTGAAAATGAAAAGGAAGTGTTCAATAAAGCACCAACTCGACTCGTTATTGTTTGGCCAAATCCAAATTCATTATGGAAACCGTTCCTTTACTTTTAGTGAAGCATTGATACTGTTAAATATTTTACAGTCATGACTGAAAAGTGTAGCACTTTGTGTGTAGAACAATGTTCAACAGTAATATTTCTCAGGGAAAACAAGTGAAAGAAATGGCCTCCCAATCCATCCCTGGTTCGGATATGTAATTTTCAAGAAAATTATCTACAAAATCACACTAATAATTATATAAATTTTGACGAAAATTATTCATAAAATTTCACCGTCTATAATTTTTTATGAGTTAATTTTGTTAAGATTTAACATCCATGAAGAGTTGAATGTAAAATTCATGTAGAATTTGACAATGTGGAAAACTTAATATCATAAACGTCATTTGATCAACTTCAAACATTTTAGTCGTATCAGATGCTGTGATTGCGTGGCAAATTATTTAATAATGAATTTAAAAATAGTACTACCAACCCATCTAGATTGGAAGTGGGAAGCCCTCACGCCTAATTATAACAGTAGATATAAAAAAAAATCTTCTATTTTTTTTTTGACAAAAAGTGGGGAGATGAAAATTATTTATACCAATAATTAAAGAAATGTGTCAAATTAATTATTGTTGGAGGTGGGCGGTGATTGTGAATGAATGAAAATCCACTTTCAATTCCTTACAGAAACCTAATCAATCAATACCATCATTATAACTTCCTTTCGATTGTTCAATTTTAGTTCAGTTAGGGTAATGACTCGACAACCATGGGATATTAAGGCTCAACTGCTCATCCAAAGCCACTCTTAATTAAATCTTAATTAATTCTTAGTGGGAAAGATCAACCATGAAAGCTAGACATTTTTTCTTTTCAAATTTTCTTTTTTTCATGAGTGTGGAAGGTAATGTATTCAGGAAAATCTAGGTGGGAGATGGTTTTTTCAGTTCAGTGTTTTCATTATTTCGGAATTTATTGATCGCGTCAGATTACTTGGTTACATAGATGATGGATCTAAATTTTCAGGTCTATAAATTCTTATAGACGGATATCTGATACTCACACATTAAGGAGTTCAATTCATCTGATCCGAACTAAAAATTAAAATACATAGGCTAAATTTAGGAATGTTTAGACATCACATTCTAGACGTGTATAAAAACATCAAACAATATGAGTAACCTAATGTACAAAACATTACGAAAATGACAAATACCTTTTTCAGTCATCTGCCACGCTAATCACCGAGAGAAAAAAGAGAGTTTTGTAAAGTGACGAATTCAACGCAAAATAGTACCATGTCTCTATGGGAATTGTTACATCATTTGGAAAAGGAAGAATATGTGCCCCTTGGCACTTAGACCCCAACATCAACAAATGAAATTAATCACAAATCTGAAAAAGATGACCTTTCTCTGCATTATATTATATTATATAGAGTATTAATGGAAGTTGCATTATCAATCTTCCTTTCCTCTCCCCAACCTGAAAAAAGGAACACTTAATTAGCAGCACAGCAGCCCCATTTAAGTACCCTCTTTATCTTTCCATATAACAAACCAACTGAAGAGAGAAAAGCTCTTCCTTTTAAACACACACACACTCACAAACCAAAACCTCTGTCACTCTTCTTCTTCTTCTTCTTCTTCTTCTTTAGAGAAGCTGCTGTCTCTTTTCTTCTGCTTGATTCTACAATGGGTTTCTATCCTCCAGAAACTCCACCTTCTCCTCATCTGTACCCACAAGAACTTCAGCTGAAACTGTACCAGGCTTTCATATTCTCAATCCCAATTCTGTTCACCATCATTCTGGTTCTCTTGTTCTATCTTTTCTACCTCAAGAGGAGAGCTTCAACACTTTCATCCTCCCTTCCAACCACCAATTCTTCCAATCAAGCTGCTGCTGCTGGTGGTTCCCATTTGTCTGCTGTAAGAACTAAGAACCACTCTCTTTTACTAGCTACCTAATTCTTCCTTGATTTTTTTATTAACCTATTTGTCTGTTTGTAGGTTTGTCAGGTTGGCCTGAAAGAAAAGCTGAGTGAGAAGCTCCAAGTTGTATTGTTTGATGAAGAGTTGAGATCAAAGGAATCACAGTAAGTTCTGTTTTCTTACCTCTGGTAATAATATCCTGGAAAGGGTCCTGGAAATTTGCCTGAAAGCTAATGTTACATCATCATTTTCTTTTCTTTCCTAATAATGCATGAAAGTGCCAAGTAACTAACTAATTATGAAGTAACAGCTGACACTAATGTTACTTGTCTGTGTCATGCATCATCAACCTAACTTTAATTGCTTTTCAAGTTAGACATCTCACCTTAAAATTACATTGTGTTAAGTTAAGCATCAAATTGGTCCAAGTAAGACATGAGATGTTTAATGCTTCAATCGCAATAACTGATTACCAAATATTTACGTTATAGTTTCACACGTATCCATTAAAAAGGTAAAACAAACTTTCTACTAATTTCCTAGGTGGGTGTGGTTTAACTTTTATGCCCACTTTCCTTCCCTTTTGTGCCTAACCAATGGCCATCCACGTTTCTCCAGTACCTGAAATGATATCTAGAGAAAACCCATCAAACAAAAAGACATATTGATGAATGCTCAGAGTGTTTTAGTGGTGAGTAGTACTAGTTTAATCAAAGTGGGGAAAAAACAACACTCACATGCGATGCCCAATCTATGGAATCTCCAATACCATCCACTACTTTTTCTCAATGACAAAAGAGAGAATTTCAAGAATATTTGTTATCATGACAAAAGTCCTCAGACAAAGAATGTGATGCCAACATAGCGAAAGATATAGCGTTCGTATTTAGACTTCTTCTATCAACTCAAATCGTTGAACTTGACTCACGATTCTTGAAAGTAGTAAAGGTGGGAATCTGATCATCGCTATTGGTGCATGCAGGTGTTGTGTGTGCTTGGGAGACTTCGAGATGAAAGAAGAGCTGCTCCAAATCTCATCATGCAGGCATGTGTTCCACATGGATTGCATCCGTCACTGGCTCCTCAACAACTCAACCTGTCCGCTATGTAGATGTTTTGTCATCCCGACAACCGCCATCAAGCTCACTAACGTTCCACATCAATCTAGTGGCGACATGCCTCCTGCAGCGATGGTGCAACAACATAACACGGCGAGATACGAACATCAGGTGAACATTAGTACGCATGCAGAGCGACGTCAACTGCAAGAAGAAGAACATGTCGCCGCGAGTCCAGTGGGAACATAGTTCGATACACATTGTCGAAGGGTCTTCTAGCTCACAATGACATTTCTTGATTTGAGTTACCGTTTCTTTTTCTTTTACTTCTTCCTCATTGATTCTAACTTCATTTGGTAAAAGAGAGGGGATTCCTCAAAAAAAGAGAGAGGGAAAGAAAGCTAGGGAAATCAAAGAACCTAGCTACAGAAATCAACGGAGCTAGCTAGCTAGCTTGTCTTCTTCTTGAGTCGAGTACAAATAAAAACACGTGAGGCATATAACACCTTGATTATCACAAGGGGGAAAAGGTTACATTTGCATATTGAATTACGTTAACAAAGCGTTATCGGAATTGAATCAGTTGCACGTTATATCTCATTAATTTCGTTTGGAATATATATCGATATTTTATTTCGACTACACAAGAAGAAGAAGAAAAAAATCATTTCGCCGTTTATTTAGCAAGCACATAATCAACACCCTCTAATATCCAGAATACATATTTTTCGACATTATGTTCTGTTTACTTTTGTAATTTACAATACATTCTATCTCGTTCATTCACCAAATTACAACGTGGGATCTAAGATCACAATTCCTGCAAACCAAACAATATCTCCTTACATTACATGAATTCCCCCACAATCCAATCCAGATGACAATCTCCATTAATCCACAACTTAAAGACTCTAAAAAGAGAACATCACAGAAGCCAGAGAACAGAGAACAACCGACACAACGACGGCAGCAAAACTACCTCTCGCCGGAAACTTCCCCGGATCTCTCCTCACCACCATAGCTTCATAAATCGGGACACTGTTCAGAACACCAAAACCCGACAGCACAATTTGCAACACCAACCCTTCCACATTCCACCAACCTCCTGTCAAAACTCGACCCAATCCGAACCCGAAGGAGACCAAGTTGATCAGAGCCGCCATCGCCATGGGCAAGAAGATGGGAGAAGACACGCCGAATTCGAACATCCCTTTCTCGTACCTCTGCCTCTGTTCCTCGTCCACGACCTTGCTGGTCAGGCTGAAACCCTTGGTGGAAACGCCGAGGGACTTGAGGACGAAGTCGAAGCCTCCGAAGAGGAAACAGGACAGTCCTCTGACTGTCCATATCCTCTGCTCGTTCCACCACCTGCGGAAGGTGCTGTTGCTTACGGTTGTGAATTCCAGCATGTCCTGGAGGTATGAGCCGAGGAAGAGGAAGGTGTAGAGCAGGAACCAGGGGTCCGATACCTGAATAGGAAAAAGTTTGTCACACGAATTTACGCGATTTACTGATATGATGTGTTAGTCAATTCATGTATATGAGAGATCGGTTTTACTATAATTAAAGAGATGCAGACTATGAAAGGGTTGGTGGTCATTAATGAGTCGATCTCAAATAACTCGAGTTATTGGAACTTGGAAGATGTCCATATGTATAATACGCAACCCCTTTCTTACTCGCCCCCCTAGAACGAAAACCAATTCATGATGTTTGGAATTTGCGCAACCTTGCCATATCATGTGCTTTAGTGACAAAGGTTTGAAATTTGAACACGTGACCTCAATAACAAATAACCTCTCTGATATCATGTCATTAACCAATTAATTCCAAATCACTCGAGTTGTTGAGAGAGGTACATGTATGTTATTTAACCATTTCCTTACAGTAAGAAAACATATAACACATTCTCTAAATGACCTGAGGCTAATCCGATAAAGATTGCAGACTACACTCATAACTGAACAACAAATGAAGCCCATATATCATGATTTTCAAGACTATCTATCAACGATAGATGATTTTGTCTTTTAAATTATAGCAACACAGACTTATCATAAACATGTTCGTGACTGGTTCGTACCTTAGGGAAGACGGAGACTCCATTGAGAAGAGCAAGCTGCGGGAGGAAAGCATAGGTTGTGATGGGAAGTGACCAAATGGGCCAGAACGAAAAATGACAATAGCCCAGGCCCATCAACCATCCGAGCTTCCTGATGCCCATGAATAATGGGCTTTTCTTGGACATGGACAGCTCAAAAGCCCCAACGGACCAACGGCTCTGCTGGATCAAAACATCCGCAAAGCTAATTGGCGAGTCCCCTAGAAAAGACGGCTGCTCCGGGTAGCAGAATATGGACCTCCACCCTTCGCAGTGTAGATGGAAGCCCGTGTAAAGATCCTCCACCATCGACCCATACCTGAAGCCCATCTAAAACATTCCCAAGAGCGAAATTCGGTAATTAGCGTCAACAAATGTTGATATCGTCAGAATGCCTCGTACATTTCGTCGATGTTAAATCAATTTTTACGTTAATCGACGTCAGCACGACAGTCCACAGCTAGATTCAAAGGTTTAGTTACCTTGGAGCCCCAGTTTGTTTGGGCCTCGTAGTTACAGCCCGCCATACGATGGGCCAGGTCCAGGACTCCCGGATCGTTAATGGGCCTGTCGGCGGCACGGTCCGGGAACAGCTCGGGGATTTCGGGGGCGACAAATTGAGACTCCGACGGGCCGCCGAAGAACACGCGCCGGGAAAAGAACGTACCGGTGCCGATAAAGGGGGGACCAAGCAGGCCGTCGAACCCAAACGGCATGTTCATCGTGTAATGGTGGAGGTCGCCGGCGTAAATGTCGTGTTTGTTGACCCCCCGAAACCGCTGCGGGAACTGAACGAATCCGTACTTCCTCCCCGCCGCCGGCGGGGAGAAGTAGTAGCACAGCACGTGGAGGGGAGTCCTCGGATTGGTCGAGAACATGTCGCAGTCCAGCGTCAGCACCAGCGGCGCGTTCGTCATCACCGCCGACACTCGAAGCTGGAACAGCAAGAAAGGGACAAAACGGTCATTGTCATTGCTGCGTTTTTTTTGTATTTCGTTGTCGTTTTGATAATTGAAGGTGGATTAATATACCAGAACGTTGAGGGCGCCGGCTTTGAACCGATGGTGGGTAGTTTTGCTTTTCTCACGAGCAACATAAATAAGGTTTGGCAAGGAATTGCCTGAATTGTCCTTGCTCTTCTTGTTGTCGAGTAAAATCTGACCAACCAGATTGAGGACATGTGAAGGGTGTAATTAAATTTTAACCTCTCACTCTAAATTATGACTTCCGTTTCTGATTTGACGATATCTAAAAAAAACAAATGCACGTATATACATACTTGAAGAACGGATGGATGGTGATGAGTGGAGAAATCGGCAGAGCTCCATTCGCTGAAAATTCGTCGCTCTGTATCGTTGACAAGATATTCGTTGATGGAAATCGTCCCTCTCTCAACAACTCGCTCGATCTTCTCTTTCAACTCCTCGTACATTTTCTACGATCAACAAACAATTTTTTTAAAAAGATTACGTATCATGACACGTGTAAATAAATTATTTGAAATTTAAATGTTACCTGGATCTTTTTGGTCTCCGCAGACGCGGATATGTTGGTCGTGAAGTACACTTCAGGACTCCGTTCCACGACGTCGTTTTGTTTACAAAACGGCAGCCAGTGCGCGGCGAATTTGGCCGCCTCCAAGAAAGCGAACAGCGTCAGCGCCGACCCGCCGTCGTCGGAGACGTACACGGACAGCTTCTCCGGCGGATAGTCGTACGCCAGAACCGACAGCGCCGTGTTCACCACCCCCACCGGCGGCTCCTTGTACGGATCCGCCGTGCATATGAACACGTCCAGCGCCGGGAAATCGCTCCTCCCCCGCGCCGGGAGGTTCGCCGGGAACTCCCTCCGGCGGACGGGGCGCATGCGGAGGGCCTGAGCCGTCACCCACTTGAAGGCGAGGACGAGGTCGGCGGCCAAGAGGAGCAAGGTGGTTGTGGAGAAGGAGAAGTAGGACGGGGAAAGTACTACTAGTGAAGTGACGTGGCGGTGGAGAAGCGCGACGACGGCGGAGGCATAAACCGCCGCGAAGAGTCGGTTGTAGACTGCGTGGGGAAGTTGTTTGAGTTCATGAAAGGGAGGCGTAGTACTGTCGCCGGCGGAGACTGCCATCCTTTTGATGCGGTTTACGAACAATGAAATCGATATCGAGCTAATCTTTCTCATTTATCTTGGTTCGTTTGTGGTGGATACATAGAGCCGTATAATTGTGGGGAGAAGGAAAGAGACGAGACTGTAGAGACATGTACGTACGATTTCTCTTTTTGTGTATGTTATTGTCACATTACAATCATGGCTTTATTATCCGATAGCGCCACTCTTTACCATAGCAAACCACAAACCAGACTGTAGAGATATGTACGTTTTTTCTTTTCTTGTGTGTGTATATATACTAGTCACGTTGCAATCATGCCTTTGATTATCCGATAGCGCCACCCTCTACAATAGCAGAACATAAGCCAGATTGTAGAGACATGTACGTTTTCTCTTCTTGTGTATACATACTATTGTACGTCACATTGCAATCATGCCTTTGATTATCCGATAGCGACACCCTCTACAATAGCAAAACCAGACTGTAGAGACATGTATATGTTTTCTCTTCTCATGTACACATACTATTGTCACATTGCAATCATGCCTTTGATTATCCGATAGCGCCACCCTCTACAATAGCAAAACCAGACTGTAGAGACATGTGCTTTTTCTCTTCTCTGTGTGTATATATACTATTGTCACATTGCAGTCCATGCCTTTGATTATCCGATAGAGCCACCCTCTGCAATAGCAACCGATAAACCCATTGAGTATGTGTGTTAAGTAGACCGACACTCCGTATTTACTGTTTAGATACTGATGGCTTCATGCATATATCGTCGGTGAACGCGTGGGTAATCGCGAGAAAAGCAAATTGTACAAGCAGATCGGTGTTGATATACGTTGGTTTTCGATCATCTTTTGGGTTTTGGTGTGACCGTAAATCGAGCTGAATCGGGAAAATAGCATGCATATATAACCGAAAACCCAACTGGCCGGGTATGGGCCCTAGCTAGCCTTACCATTAATTCGAACTCCAATGTTCAATCCGATTATGGACCAACCCCAATGCAGGCTTGTTCAGATCAACTCTGATATCCGCATCATAATCGAGACCCAATAACATTTGGTTCTCACGCAATCGAAAACTGCAACGATGTCGGTTACGGTTGCTGAAATGAGACCAATTCAAATTCGGATAACTAACCAACTGGGTTCGCGGCTGACCAAAACCTAAATCAAATGCCAACCCTAATGCATGTGATCGGGAATCATCAGCATCCATAAGCACCAGGCAAGGAGTTCCATATGGACTCAAACTAGAATATCCATATGAAAATCTCGAATTTTCAATTACAAATTGTAGACATATATAATATGTAAATCTCACCATAACATAATTCAAATTGGAAATGTACAACGATAACTTTTTTTTTAAGAAAAGAAAAAGACACTACGTCTTCCGCCCCAGCATTCACGAAATTTATGTCGGATTTCCTAGTTTCTTTCTATGTACATAATAGTACATAAGTCTTTTTCATTATTCTGTTTTATTATTATCTTATATGATATGAGACCAAAAAGAAGAAAAAAGACAAAATGACAACATAAGTTGGTTTGTTTATAGGAATAGATGACAACACAACCATACATGAAAACTGAAGTTACGAATGAATAGTTTTAAAAGCTATACATAAGGTCTCAAAATATTACATCGGTGGATAGATCTTGCTTTTGAAAAAAAAAATTGCATCACTTCAACACAAAACCAGCAGCCACGTAACAACCCCAAGCCAACGCGACGGCGACAACAACGGTCCTCACCGGCATCCTCCCGCCATCACTCCTCCAACCCACCGCCTCATAGATCGGCCACCCGTTCACCACCCCGAACCCGGCCACGAACAGCTGCAGCAGCGGCGCGTCCCTCCAACCGCCTCCGCCGCGACTCATCGCCTGGGCGGCGAGGCCCTGGACGAGCGCCAGCAGGCTGATCAGCGCGGCCGCCGTGGGGGGCACGAACATCGGCGAGTGGACCCCGAACTCGAAGGTGCCCCGGTCGTACCTTTTGCTCTGTTCCTCGTCGATCACTTTGCTGGTCACGTTGAACCCGGCGGCGATTCCCAGGAAGTACTTGAGGAAGTACTCGACGGCGGCGAACAGGTGACACGTCAGCCCGCGGAGCAGCCAGATTCGCTGGTCGCTCCACCACCTTTGGAACGTCCCGCCGACGAGGAGGAAGTCCAGCATGTCTTGTGCGTAGGCGCCTAGGAAGAGGAACGGGTACAGCCAGAACCATGGTTCCGTTGCCTGTAGAGCATAAAGAAAAAAAAAATTGTCTTCTCAATTTATTCATAATCAAGGTTGTGAAATCAGTTTAATGCGTGTTAAGCATCCTATAGAAATATATATGTGTATATATGATAATAATTTGAAAATTTAATAATCTAAATCTAATTTGATAGGTATCATACAATAATTTAATAATTAATCTATTATATTTCCTAAAAATTATGTATATTTGCTTTGTTTTATAGAATAGGGTTTGGGAGAACCAAAATGTAGCATTATGTCTAAAAGCCTGAAACCAATCAATTCGGTCAGATCGCAGATTTTTGCACTTTTGACCAATTTTTTTTTTTTACAGTTTTGACCGATTTGGAAGGAAAACGACTTTCTGGGAGCCGATTTTCAGTATCGGCTAAGGTCAGGGTCAGGTGCAAGTGGCCAGCCTGACTACGACTTGACAACATTGTTTAGAACTAATAGATACAGAAACAAGCCAGTCTCAATAACTTGAGTTGTTCGAAAAGATTTAATTGTAGATCATATATCACTTATTAGTTCTTACTAGCTAACACACCACTTAAAGGAACGACAACTTAGACGAGCTTGAAGTTTGCACAGACATATCTAAATACCATGTGCTTAACAAATGAGGCCACTGAGATTTGAACATAATGGCTCTCGATCACGTAAAACTCTGTTATGCCATGTCAAAAACCAGGATCTCAATAACTCGAGTTACTGCAATCGGTTAAATTATAAATCATATACCACTTATTAACAAAAACAAACCATTCATTCAGGCTCATATCAAAAGAAAAACTTGCGTACCTTTGGGAAGATGTGGAGTCCATTGAGAAGGGCAAGCTGGGGGAGGAAAGAGTAAACGATTACAGGGATGGACCAGCTCGGCCAGAATGCGTTCTGACAATATCCAAAGCCCATAAGAAACCCAGCTGACGACCTAACGCCGTAGGTGAGGGTGCTGAATCTCGAAAACGCAACTTCGAGCAGCCCAATATCCCATCTTTTCTGCTGATTCAACATGTCCGCCAACGAGATCGGTGCATCACCCAAGAACGCAGGCCGCTGTGGGCAACAGAACACCGACTTCCATCCTTCACAGTGTAAACGGTAGCCCGTGTAGTAGTCTTCAACCAACGAACCATACCTATATCCAATCTGCATACATCACACACCAATAACTCAGAGTTATCGTAACCAATCATCTTTTTTTTTTTATTATCAACCTGTACATACTATGAAAGTATTAACTAACAAGCTATGGTTGACATATTGGGCATCTTATCGGCCGGTTTCAACTGGGAACAACCTATATCGGTGATCAAACTGGCTGGAAAGAGATCGAATTTCAGTTTTGGTCAAATCGGGTCAAATAGTCAAATTCGAATAAATATGGAAAAAATTGTCGATCTGACTAGAAATCGGTTTCCAGCACGTTCACACGTTTTCTCATAAAATAAACAATAATCATGGCATTTTATTATGTTCGCTTGTTTAATTTGTATACCAGCAAACTATATAGAATTTTGTGATACATATTAACCTTATATATTATAGAAATTAACTCTCTATTTTACATAAATCACGGTAAAACATTAATAAATTTTATTTTGAATACTTTTATATATTATTTGCATATCTAATTGTTTATTATTAGTTGTCAATTCCTGACTATAAATTATTTTATGTGAATAGACTACTTCCGTTGCTTCGTCCTAATTAATTATTTATTGTTGATGTTTTTCTACTTTTTTCATGTATTTTATTAAAACCTGCATAATTAACATAAACCGATTTTAACGCCTGTCACACATATCACTTAGTTCAACGGCACAACGGTATAAATCGGTTTGACAACCTTACAAGATATATACCTTAGAACCCCAACTGGTTTGATTCTCGTAGCCGCACTCAGCAACCCTATGCGCCAGCTCCAACACCGAACCAGACCGAACCGACCCGCCCACTACGTGGTCGGGCCCCACCTCCGGGATCTCCGGCGCCACCGGGCTCGACGGGCTGCCGAAGAAAGCCCGCCGGCGGAAGAAGCATCCGGTCCCGACGTGATGGGGGCCGCATAAGCCGTCGGCCCCCATCGGCATGGCCTGGAACAAGCGCTGGAACTCGCCGGCGTAGATGTCGTTCTCGTTGATCCCGTGGTACTTCTGCGGGAACTGGACGAACGCCGAGTTTTCCGGGCCGAGTTTAGGGTCACACAAGTAGCACATCGCACGGCGAGGTGTTGCGGGGTCGTTGGAGTACATGTCGCAGTCCAACGTTAGGACTATCGGTTGGTTCGTCATCGTAGCCGACACGCGTAGCTTCACAAAAGTATATAAAAATCAGTTGGATAAATAATACGAAAAAGTTTGATCTAGTCGTATTATCACTAGTCTTAACAACGAGAGAGAAAGTAGAAATTAAAGAAGGAAAGAATAATATTATACCAAAACGTTGAGGGCGCCAGCTTTGAAGTGATGTTGAGAGGTACTGCTCTTCTCCCTCGAGACGTAAATGAGATTTGGCATTACGTGGCCGTCAACATCCTTGTCGTTTTTACTGTCCAGCAACACCTGTTCTTCACCGCCGTCGACCAATAATTCAGACATTATATTATTATTATTATATTATATATAATAAAACATTAGGATATGTAATGTAAATTAATTGTGATGGGAAATAATTGAAGACGAAAGGACTTTGAGAACCTGGATGAAAGTGGGATGGTTGTGCTTGGTGAATTTGTCGGACCATTTGCCGAAAGCTTCCTGCTCTTTGGGTCCGTCGATGAACTGGTCGTCCACTTTTCCGGCCTCGACGACATGTTCCACCTTGTGTTTCATGCTCTCGTACATGGTCTGTAATTGGCAAAACTTGGTATGCTAAATATGGGAAATTGTATGTTGAATGTCGTTAAGGACATAACTTGTAAATTGCTAATTCATATTAAGTACAAGTTACAACTGGACTTAATATTTCAACCTTTTATTAGAATACTATACTAAGAAGTGGATGATCGAAAGTAATGTTGATCCAACCCAATTGAGCATGTGGATCGCTTTGAATGATGATAAATAATTTTTACGGTTGCGTCCGGATAATAAGACTAATAATTAACTAATAAGAGTTCAACTTATTTCTATATATATTATTAAAAAAAACTTATTTCTATTTAAAAAATAATTTTTCAGTTTATTAGTTTAAATAGCTGTTTTATTCCGAATTTACCTGTAAAAATACAAATTCACCACAAACACACGTGGCATTAAGCCAACGTATACCTTAATCTCCTCGACTTCGCCGTCGACAGGATGGCCCCGGTTGGACCCGAAATAAACCGCCGGGTTCCGCTCCACGACCCGGTTCCTCTCGCAAAACGGCAGCCACCGCGCCGCGAACTTCGCCGCCTCCACGAACGCAAACAAGGTCAACGCCGACCCGCCGTCATCCGACACGTAGACCGCCAGCCTGTCCCTCGGATAATCATACGCCATCACCGACAGCGCCGTGTTGACCACCCCCAGCGGCGGCTCCTTGTACGGATCCGCCGTGCATATGAACACGTCCACCCCGGGCAGCTCGCCCTCCTCCGCGACGACGTCGTTTAGGTTCTCCACCGCCTCGCGGCGTCGTATCGGGTTCATGCGGAAGACCTGCGTGGTGGCCCACATGAAGGCGAGGACGAGGTCGGCGACGAGGAGGGCCAGGGTTGTTGTGAAGGAGGACGGCGATGACGTGGCGGGGACGAGGAGGTTGGTGACGTGGCGGTAGAGGAGGGCCAGGACGGCGAGTAGGTAGATTGGGGCGAAGAGGCGGTTGAAAGGGGTGATCGGCCAGCGGTCCGCCGTGTGGAGGGCGGAGCTGCGGCGGCGGCGGGTGGTTGGGTCGTCCTCCATGGGATTACTAGCTAGCTAGCTAGCTACCTAGTGTGTGCCTATGATTGTGGAGATACATATGTTTATACGGTTGGACAATGGGTGGTTTTGGGTAGATTTCGATATTAAAGTTTATTAACGAGTTGGTATGATTGTAATTCGTAATGCACTCATATCTTTGAGTTGGGTTTGGGTGGGTGGTCGATGGATGCAGTTGGGTTGTGGGCTAACCACAAACGCAATTCTCCAACTTGTAATTAAGAAAGTTGACTAATATTTATTAAAAAAAATATTCATAGCAAGATTGCATCAATTTAGACACACCTCCCGATTTGTCTCGTATGGAGATGGTCAGCGTGTGTGTTGGTTAATAAATACCATGACTATTTATCAGTATAAATATGAAACAACTATTTTCCATGTAAAGATGTGGTGCGGGTTATTCGAATGACGCACACCCCTCCCAATAAATGTGGATAGAAAATTTATAAATTTACAATCCACTTGCATCAATCACAAATCACCATGCATCTACTGTAGTTTTGGGTTATTTGTGGGTGGTCTATGTCAAACCGCGGATTATCCACCCACACGCCACATAACCACCACTAAATATATATCGTTGGTGGAGGCGGCGTGTGGCTGCATATAATTCCTAATTTATAAATAAATCTCTTACGTGAGAATGGTACGTCAAGATGTACAAATCTTTTTTTATTATTATTTACTAACGGTAATAATAAACATTGTACGTCCAAATTATTCAATAGGATGTGGAAGTAAAATCAAATTATGAAAATGCAAGTAATTTAAAAATTATCTCCTGCAGATATTTATTTATGAAAATGGACAGGCTGCCGGTCTGTATAGTTGGCAGAAATTAAGTTCATTTATATACTAGTGGCCATGTGAATCCTGAGATTCCATAGATACTAGGGAAGGGGGAATTATATTCTTGATGTTTATATGTATCCATATTGATTATGTATAATTTTACTGTGAACAAATGAATTACTTAAATGACCAATCCAAAAGATTAGTATTTATTTACGGATCAGCTGTAACATAAAAATGTAATGGATTGCTTACCAATTATATGTTGTTGCATTTTTAAGTTTCATTTGGATCTCCTCCAAATCCAATCAAACAGGAAGATTAACTGATCAGATGATTCGATATGAAAAATGGTATGTCTTGCATATTCGGTCTCTCCAATCAGGCCACCATACTTGTAAAAATGGACACTCTAGTCCAATCTATTACTCTAATTCCGTGCAGTAAGGATTGATCTCATCTTCGATCCAAAACGAAGTCTTTGTACTTGTTGATCGGCGATCCGTGAAACTGCCGTCCGATGTTGATCGGCGATCTCTATGTCGGTTTCTCCGACCAGTTCGAAAACGGGCCTTGCTTGGCCCAATATCCACGATACTAGCCCGCCGTTCCCCTACCAGGCCTTTCTGTTGGTCCATGAATTAGCTCCATCTCTCCTAGGAGCCTTGATGTTGGGCTTTAATTTCTTTTTTTTTTTTTTTTACCAAGCAAGGCATTAAGAATTTAAGATGTAGTACAACAACGATACAAACACAAAACTCAATCTGACCAAACATGGTAATTTGTATGTAATCGAACTATGAACGAAAGAGTTTTTTTTTTTTTTTCACTACATGGGAAACTCTATTAAAGGAAGAAGTACGATACGACCGTCACTCAAAATAAGAGAAAAGGAAAGTGAGCTTCTTGCTCTAAGTTGTGTGCAAACATGTAACTCGAACGTTGTATCTTGTATACGGGCTTCCCCTCTTCTTGAGTGAAGTAATGACAAAAATATATTCATAATATATAAACCACTAACTAAAAGGGTCGGACAACCAAAGATTGAAAAGCCGTTTTATCAATTTTGTTGACCAAGAAAAAACCTCATACCGAATGTTAAACCGGTGGCTGTATCTAACGGTATAAACCGGTTTAATCACTATTAACCACACGGTTTCAGCATAAATACTCTGATACTAACTTTTTCCAATACAGACTCCGATTCGGTTTTACAATCTTTGGTGGCCGACTGGCTGAGATCATATGATATCATATCCCCGTTGTTGCCTTGTTGGTGTAGTTGTGCAGGTGAATTATTGGAGGAGGAAATGGGTGGATGTTGGCAAGCCAAGGAAGGAGAAAGGTCAATTATATAGCAGTTTTACTATTTACTTATTTGCCTGGCATTGCCATTGCTACCAATACCATCCACCTCCTCCTTTCTGCTTCTACACTCACTGAGTCACTGGGCTGCTGGAGGTTGGAGTAGTGGCTACGTCTTGTCTTTGTCAAATGATCAATTGTCATCATCATCATCATCCTCCCACAGCCACAGCCACAGCCAGAGCCAGATGGTCCAACTCAACCTCCCAGACTTGTCGTCCATTTCCTCATCTCCCCCACACCTCTTACAAGCTGCTTTCATATCATTTACTTCCTCATTTTTCTTATAGGACTGAACGATGCAGAGTCCAAGAGGGAAACTATTTTGGTCACGGGCCACCATGCTTTATGTGTGGGTTGAGTTTGCGCGTTATGCGCGATCCACACTATTGTTGGATGTACGTGAACTCGATACAACGTGAATCATGTCGATGCAAAAGGGGTATGTATGTATGCTTGTTTGTGTCGGATACATTGAGCACGCAAACCATATTGGATAGAGGACTGGAGAGGGAAAGGTTTCGGCCGACGGTCTAGATGATCTTAGACGTGACCTGAAGGACGAGCGTGTGTTTGTGGAACACACAATGCGGCACTGCTTTTTCGCACGTTATTAAGCCCAAAACCTTGATGGTCTTCAAACGACAATTTGCACACCAAAACATTGAACGTGAGTGAAACTCGATTGTACGATATACCATGCCTCTCGTGATCAAACATAGAGGACCAAACTGAAAAAATGGAGGACATTTACTCACTAAAAAAAGACTAGGAATCCCGAATCAAGGATTGCATTAATAATTGTCTTTGTCAATACTTTATATACATAGAAAAGAAGCCATTAAAAAAAGGATTGATGACTCAGATGTGAGGTGATCACACTCTGCCTCCCAATACCTACCACACTAAACAAAAGATTTACAGACTCTATTTTAAGCCCCCTAAACTTTGTTTTTTATACACCAAAGTCCAAACGACTACTCCAGGCTTACCCCGAGTCAATTTTCCTTCCCTCTTCTTTTGATAGTTAGCTCTAAAAAGCCGAGCTGCTTAAAATTAGCATGGCAAAGCTTCTCTCTCTCTCTCTCTCCCTCCCTCTCGCCTTCCTCTTTTCCAACTTCAAACATCCATGCAAGCCGCCCAAAATGGAAGAAGATGGTGGAGAAGAAGAAAATTGAACCAAAACCCCGTACAAATAACAACACACAGCAAACACATTCAAACACAAGGCCAGAAGAAGAAGAGGAAACAGAGAGAAAAGACACGACCCTTTCCCCAGCTGTTAATTGGAGTTTTCGACTATGGCGGAGTCTGAGCTTACTCCACCTTCAGCTTCTACGGGGAACATCGGAAGTTTGCTTCCTGGTGTCATCTTCTTCACATCCTGACTCAAACATATGAAGATTCTCCTCACCATGTTGCAGAATTCACTGCATAATAATGAAAATAAGCCCTTTTTAGTTATCGAAACGAAAAGTTTGGAGCTTTTCATTAGTATTCTGCAAGAAACACTCACGGCCATGGATCATCTCCAACAAGCATCATGTCTCCTTCGTCGTCGGTGTAGACGATTTCCCACGTATCCCGAGTCTGAAGCTGTCCGGTGAGGTCAAACAAACTCTCCAGCTCGCTTATGAGCTGCGGATAACCTTTCATCGTTGTCAAGTCCACCGCTCTTCCAACAGCCACTCCCTGCATTTGAACCTATTGGGACATTTGTAAAACTCTCTTCAGAGGCTTGCAAAATGAGACAGAAACCATGATTTAACCAACTAAATCAAGCAGAACTCATCTCCAGTACCTTGGTGCGACTTCTAGTGGACATGGAACAACTTTGTCTGCTCTGAGTATTATCCTTGGGGGACACTTGTGATTGCTCAGTGGCCTTTTCCTTATTAGGAGAGTCCGATTTCTGTTCAGCATCAGACTGCGAGAGGATGCTACGTGCATGCTGCACCTCGGTGGACTTGTCAGCAGTAGGCGTGCTCATTGGACTGTTCACGAGCTCGATACCGAACAATCTGTAGGTAGTAGTCGTTGCTGCTGCTGCTGCTGCCTCATGTTTCCTCCCTACCTTATCAACTGGCTGCTCGACTACTGGTGGGTCGCCGCCTTTCAGTTTCGTTGATTGAGGAGGTGATGAGAAGGAAACGGGCCAATTTGAGACGCTCTTGCTATCGTCAGTTGCAGCATCCTGAAATTTATGCTGAGAAGAGACGTTGTTCATGCGTGGAGACAGCCAATCTGTACAGCTCCCATGGCTGTTCATATCTGGCTGCTGCTTATGCTGCTGCCACATCATCATATTCTCATTTCGTTTGCTCTCGCCAGTAACGCTCATTTGTGTCATTTCAGTCAACCCAGAATTCCAATGTGAGGCAGTTGAAGACAAATCTGTCCGTATTAAACAAGAAGAGCCGATCAGAAGGCATATAAATTTTTTTTTTTATCTGGAATAATGACAGGAATGAACAAACACAACAAAAGATGCTATTTACCTAGAGCTGGAATTTCATTTGGGGGACGTGGCCTTTTGTTTTTCATTGGAACTGGTTGAGGGAGGCTAGTTGGTACAGAAGAAGCCACGAAAGGTTCTATCTCCCATGGAGAAACCTTATCCGGCCTTGCAATGGAAGCAGGTTCATCCCACTGAACCTGGCAAGGAGAACAGAAACAACACAGAAAGAGAAAGCTGTTCTTAGTTTATAATATTCCTACTAGGCAGCTCAAAATTTCATATACATCATATGAAGACAAAAGACATGTCAAGTGAAGATAAAGTATTCATACCTTCAAACTTCGCCATTTGGATTCAGCCCAGTGGACAGAGAAATCTTCAACACCAACAATTGTGCCTGAGAACCTGATCAAACAACGAACAAAACTTTACTTCTAACCCCACTTATTCATGGTCAACTGCTACCAAAAGATCCAGAGAAGAGCACTATGATCAGAATTTCTAACCTTCGCTCGGGGGAATCTTCACCTTCAAACCTCATCTTAAACCTCTTCCCAACTGCAAACTTATTTTCCACGGCTTCCAAGTACTTGTTCCGGCCAATGATGAACTGGCTCGTCCTTGGCTTATAGTATACCACAAACATAGTTTGAGTTGCAACAGCATGAGAAGCTGTTGCCAGCACTCCAAGGTGCATGCTCTGGCTGGAAATCACAGATGTAGGCATGCTGCTCTGCTGCCGGGCAACCCGTCTCACTCCAACTCGAAGCTCCCCACTCTCACCCCTTACACATAAGTATGAAATATAAGCATTCTTAATGAACAGAATGACTAAAGAAAACCAGAGGTATAGAACTTCCAAAGAGTTCAGTCAATACCTGAGGAAAACAAAAGAATCTCCAGCAACTAATCTCTTGGAAGTCACAAACGTACTCCAACCTGTTGTTAGCAAGTGCCTCCTAGGCTGACCTCGGAAGATATGCTTGAACCTCCATTCATAACCATGAAGATCCTTAGCAACCAATTCCTGAGTTGGTGTTTGCTGAGCCATGTCCTGAAAAAGGGGTTTCAAACATCAGTCAGTAAAGCAAGATTAATGAGTCTAGCAATCTAAAGAGGGAATGGGGGGGAAAAAGGCAACGGATCCCTTCTCATACACATACCAAAGGAGGGAGGCATTCAGTTGCATGCTTGCGGAGAACAGAGAATCCGCCGTGAGTGCTTGTATCTGATGCAGTCAAGACCTTACAAAATGAATGAACTGAAGGCCTTGGAGTCTCTGTTGGGGCTAGATCTCGGCTATTCTGTTCGCTTTGCTGAAAATTTTGGTGATAACAAATTAAAATCATCAAAATCAAGATAACAAGTCATAGATAATAGGAAAAGGGAGGTTTCTCAATGTCTTACATCCACTTCAGGTATTAAAGTAATTTGTGCATAAACTTCATCAGTCTCTTGCTCAGCCTGCAAATAGATTGCACAGGTCAACCAAAAGGGTTTTGTTCCCTAACACACTTCCTGTGACTGTAAACTCAGTGGTCAAATTGGTTTTCTCAGCCAAACAATTCAACAAAGGCTGCTTGACCTCAACCGAGCTCAAAATAAGAGTTTGCATTTTCTCAGCAACCAAACAAAGGAATTCCTCCAACAAGAGAGAAATCGACTAGATCAGGGAAAAGTACCAGGAGGTTGATGTTAATGACCCGACAGAGAATCTTGGACGGCAAATTAAACAGAGGAGCCCTTTGATTCAATTCCTGGTTTGTTGATGCCTCCAGCTACAACCACCACCACCAAAAATAGCAATATGTAAAATCTTGAGCTGATTAGAAAGACACTCCATAAATGGTACTACCACCACTCAAATCAGAAAAGGTTCAGATAATAATTGCAAGGAATTAAACCAGGATCAACCTCTCGGGCATCTCAATCCCCAAAAGTTGCCGAGATCTCCCCAAGGAACAAACATAAAACGCGGAAAAACAAGACAGCCCAAAAGAAGAAAAGAGAAAGGCGGAATCAAACTTACCTGTTCCATGTGACCCTGCGGGAAATAGTAAACCCTTTCATCAGCTTGAGGAACCTCCACCACCGGACCGGCGCATAATTTCCAAAGCTCTTTGTACAGATCATCTCTTCCTCCTCCTGTAACCCACAAAACGAAATTCTCAGCATTCCCCTGAAAGCTTCCCTCAACCAGAGAAGAAAAAAGCTAAAAAATTTATTGACGAAAAACACTAGACCTTCATTGTTGAGCTGCGGGAAAGACCCGCCGCGAGTCGCCGCCATCATTTAGCTCTTTCCCCACGAAGATGCAGAAAAAAATCCACCGAGTCAAAGAGCGCAGCAGAGCAGAGCAGGGGAAATGACAAACCCCTTCCCAGAAAAGCCGATAACGAGAAGGAAAGGACAAAATTTCCCACTTTTAAGGCAAACCCACTTCAATTCCCTCAATAACACCACCTCCAGTAACTGCAAAACGTATTGGGTTCGCTTAATTACGAGCTCAAACGAAGCTAATAATAAAAGCTTCGACCTTTCCCACTACCCAATCCCCCCCACGCCTTTCAGCACACCGCCCCTTTTTCCAAACTGTAACTGATCAATTGAACAGATCCAACCCAGACAAAAGATAATAGAGACGAAAGAAAAGAAGAAGAAAAAGAGACCCTATCTCTCAAAACCGCTAAAACGGTTACAAAACCGCTTACCCACCTGCCCCTGAAAACCACTCTTCCCAATTCTTATTTTTCCCCTGTGAAGAAGCAGCAAGCAAGCAAGCAGGCTTTTAGGTCGTCGTCGTCTTCTTTGCTGCTCTCTCTTTCTCTCTCTAGAAAGAATCGAAACGCCGTTACTAGAAGGAATCCCCAGAAAAAAACCGCTTCGCGCGCCTCTTATATTAACGCGACTTTTCATTTGCCCTCTTTAACTGTAACACCGTTCTCTCTCTCTTGGTCCGTTGACCGGACCATGGTTAAGGGTCGAGGGTTAAGGGTCACGATGACGGTGACGGCGGGGGTGGGGAAACGGAAAGGGGTAGGGAAGGTAGGACGCAACGTCGTAGAGGAAGTCGACGGAGTTAGAGGACGTTAGATGACGGCTGGCGGGTAATTTAAAAAAAAAGGGGAAAGAAATTTGGTTGGGTGGTACGGAGGCATGGGAATGCGTGTGGGAGAGTAAACGGAGGAGGGCTTTTGATTTTTTATTTTATTTTATTTGTTATTATTAAGGGGTGGGTTTGCCGTCACCGTTAGTTGCTACCGTCTCTATCGTTGTCTGCTTGGGAGCAGGCAACAGGGTTGGCCCAAGTTACCCCGGCAGAATTCATGGACGGGACGGAGGAAAGAAAGTGAAGAAAGAACCGAAGCACGGAAAACGGGATTTTCCCCCAATAATGTAGCGTATTTGTCTAAGCTTAGGAAAACTTTGATATATTTAATGGACGCGTATTTCTATGCTACATCGGTACATTCATAAAAGATTCTATCGTATACTTAGTTAGTAGTTGTGTATGATTCGGAATGGAACATTCCTCAAAACTCAACAACTTGACGAGATATTGAGATCAATTGGTTCTTGACATGACATGAGAGGGAATCTGTTGTGGTCGAGCCGTCTTCTATTTGAACCTCATTTGTTAAATAAATGGTATTCGAACTTTGGCAAACTTCAAGCGTATACACATCAATGTTATTTGTCCGATTGCAAATCTTACAAGAGCACTTCGTATGCAGGTGCAAAGGGGATTGCATCAATATAACCAGCATTTGCAAAAGTGCAGGACACATATGAAAATAAAAATAAAAATTTATTTTTCTAGATTTATTTTTTTTATATAATATTATCATTTGGGCCTATCACATATGTTATCGCAGGTGAATTGCGGTGATGTAAGTGCAATAAAAGTAATAAGAGCTTGGTTACGAAATTGTGGATCACATGTCATTGAATTGATGTTGATGATATTAGTAAGTTGTATATGATTTATAATTGAACATCTCACAATCAAGTATATGAAGACTAAAAAGTTAATAAGAGAATGAGTGGGAGAGTTTAGATTATGTAAGTGAGGTGTTTATTGAATTATTGGGGGGCATTGGATTTTGGATGTCTTCACACTAATACAATTATTTTTTATGGAACACTAAACCATACCTTTTCAAACCTGAATTTAGAAATTCATTTGTTTCTTCCATTGACCCACTTGTTGGGAGTCAGTATTGATGGTTTGGTTTGTACTTAAAAGACAAATTTTCTTAAGCAGACATCATTCCAATTCCCTTCCAAATTATAGGCTTAATGAAAGCAATATAAGCTAGTAAAGGTGATCAATTAAAATATATGCACCATCAACTTGCAATTTCAGTAAAAGATATACAGTCTCTTTCCCACCTTTTGATCTATTTCGTGGAGGAACATCTAAAAGGACAAATACTTGAATTTTAAAAATCCCAACTTTAAATTATATTTTATTGAATTATTTACATTCCTTGTTTCCACCACTTGAACACCATTTAGGGGCAACAATTCCCCCCCTCCAAGATAATCCACCAAAGATGTCTTTCCATGACCACTACCATCCTATATATTTATATAAATCATCATCGAGTCCTCAACCCAAATGACCAAAGTGTAGAAATAAAGGATTTTGTAAGGTATTTAGACATATGTTGTGCTAGGAGATGGTTACATACCTCATCCTATATCCAAATTTATAGCTTTTAAACATTTAAGTGTGCCATGTAAAGTTTAAACAATTATCTCCCTTCAAAACTCACCATGAACACCATGCATGTTAACAACGAGGTTGAAGCGTGTGTAAAGATTGTCATCAAGTCCCTGCATCTTTCGCTTCATGCATAACGAATGTCAAACCAATATATATTCACTCGAGATGTCAGAAGAGTAGCACTCAACCCAAGGATTCTCGTGTACTTACGAGTAGCATGACATAAAACTTTATCATTTTGTATGGAATCTCTAACTTGGTATTACAGGTTTGTAGGTGGTTCACCTTGTTCTCTAACTCTGGTTTCAATATGGAAAGTTGATCATGTTCGTGAACTCACCCCTCGTACTAGTGCAAATGCACTATGTTAAGCCAAATCCTCATAGCATTCTGACTAGAAACACTTAAGACTCAAGAGTGGGGGCGTAAGTCTGACCCTAGATATCTGCTAATCCGGTCGATCTGGTCGAGTTTGTTTACAAGTTCAACTTAGGGTCAATCACTTTTTGGCCCTATGATCCATAAATAGCAACAACTAGTGATTTGAAAATTTCTCATATCATACATGTTTATAAAGTTTTAAGAGTTCGGGTACTATAATGCAAAGCAAAAAAATACCAAGGTACTCAAATGTAAGTTAACCACAAACAAATCATGGACTTATTTGTGAAAAAAATGAGGTGCTAAGCTATTAAAAAATAAAATTGAATACCAAAATATAATTTCAAAAGAATCAGTTGTTGATTGATTTGAGCCAACCCAAACTACTAGACAGGGTAGAGGAGGAAACAGGGGCTGGGCTAGCCAGTTTTATAAATTGAGTTATATTGAGTCCCATGGAATTAATTTCACAGAGTCAATGGACAAGTTTTTAATTTTGGAGCTCTTGTATGTATATTGATTTGGATGAGTATGTGTGTTATAGAGCTAATTAAATACTTTTTGGGGTAAAAGTTTCCTCCCCAGGGCAGTATCCTATAAAATACAAATTATTATTTAAACTCAACAATAATAAGCAATTTATAGAAACAACAAAAACCATGACATAATCATATGTGAGTTGATCCTATTTAAAGTGGCATATACAACAAATAAATAGCTCCAACTGAGGGGTAGTTAACCAAATTTCTAAATGCAACGACAAATTACCTAATGGAAGTCCGCTTTTGTTTAAAAACTGTTATTTGCATTGCCTAAATACTTGATTTATGCCAATCGAAGACATAATAAGGTATTTCTTGAGGTCATCAATTGACGAGACTATCAGCTATTAAAATTAAATGAGAAAATTGGTTGGGTATGTTAACCCATATCGATATGTATTAACGATATTGTATAAAACATAAGTATATACATGAACGATGCAGCCTTTATATTATCACAAATTGTGATAAGAATTGCATCATACCTGTTATTCTTAATCAAGATTAATTTTGTCTATCAAATAAGATATGGTATCTAAAAAAATCGTGCTATAAGAAATTACGATCACTTTCTTTAACTTTTACAAATAAAATAATTGTGACAAGTAGTACCTGAACTCTACCAGTTTGGTCTGTGATGCATCTGATCAATTGATTTCAGTCCTGTGTGAGTGAACTGAAATGTTAAACCAGGGCGGAAAATTAATTAATTGCTAAAATTTACTGTAACTTTAAAATTACCTCACCATTTTCCTATTTAAAAATTTTTTCTAGGCAACCAAAGAGAGTTGGAACTTGGAAGGATCAATTAACGGGAGACGTCTGAGTCCACATCGGCTGGTGTACAAAGTAATCAAGAAAAAAGGGATTTGACTAATTAATTATTAATTTCGAGATTAGTGGGCTTTTGGACAATATAAACATAAATTTTAAGGTTTAAGAAACCCTCCTCCGTAGCTTTTTTCCTTTCCTTTTCTCACTACCAACATGAGACCAGCAAAAGGACAAACCAATCTTTTTTTTTTGAATAATAATTTCATTCATTCAAGCCCAAAGGAGGCAGAGAGGTTACAGCATGCTGGAAATAATAGCCAAAACAGAAAGCCAATTGGCATGAAGGGTATCTTGTCTACAGTTGCGAGCAACCCAATCAGCTTCTTTGTTGTTCTGTCTACTAGTGAAGGAGATATGGATCCATGGAGAACTGCGAAGGATGTTGGTGATAGAAGAGAGGGACGCGTAACAGCGCCATGGCCAAGATGCAGGGTTGTTGTAGATGGCATCCACCAATGTCTTGCAGTCTGAACGGATCGACGAGGGAACACGGTCACTGGTTGCAATAAGGCATGCTTCAAGAATGGCTGTAACTTCCGCTTCAATTGGGGAAGAGCAAATGATCCTTCCAGCCTTCCCATCGCAAATCTGTCCGTTGGAGTCGGTAATAACCACTCCAAAAGCCGCCCTCTGTGTGTCACTTTCGTAGGAGCCGTCACAGTGAATCTGTCGAAGATTGCTAGGCGGTGGACATGATTGAGATGGGAGAACCCGAGGCTGAGGAGAAGGGAGGGGATGGTACGGTGTATAATGGGGTTCAGCCGCTTCCCGAAAGGCACATATCGAAGTATTTGTTGGGGACAAAGCTGTTCCTCTAAAGATACTCTCGTTACGGGCCTTCCAAATGTTCCAGAGGCAGAAGATGTGGCGACGAACAGAAGAAGGATCGTCCCGATGTTTCATGTCGAAAATCCATTGAGTGAGGTTTTGCGGGGGTGAAAAAGATGGAAGAACCTTGGTCCAAGTTTCGGCTGCATGAGGGCAGAGGAAAAGGCAGTGAATGGGGGTTTCTTCCGTCGAGCGGCAGAGCTGACAAAGGGGGGAAGGTGCACAATTGCGCCGAAAAAGATTGAGGTTAGTTGCAAGGGCGTTCCGAATGCATCTCCACATGAAAAATCTGATCTTTGGCGGAAGCTTGAGAGACCAAAGCCATTTCCAGTTGTCGTCTGCGGCCGGCATGTTGAGATCGTGATGGTGGGGATGGTGATGATGGCGGAAATGGTTGCGCAAACCATGGTAAGCAGAGCGGACAGAGAATTCTCCAGTAGGGCAGAATTTCCATGCCCAAAAATCCTCTGTTCCCTCAGGGGCAATCTGGATATGTGAAATAGCATCTACTTCCTCTGTTGTGCAGTGTCTTCTAAGGAGGTCAAAGTTCCAGCTTGTACCTTCTTGATTCATC